TTGAAACGAACCTGTATGCTCAACAACAGTTCAGCAAGCATAAACCAACTGATGTTCGTGAAATTAAAACATTTTTGGGGGCATAAAGCGCCTTCCAAGTTATAGGGACCATTGGTCTCGCGCGCCAGATCTACATGACTCTTATGTCAGTAATCTAATGTCGGTAAAGCGATTTAGTTGGTTGCTTGGAAATATTCACTTGAATGACAATTCATTGATGGCAAAAAAAGGCGAAGCCAATTGCGACAAGCTGTACAAAGTAAGGCCATTGTTGAACTGTATGTCAGAGGCATTTGGAAAATGTATGCTGCCAAGTCGTGAAGTTGCCATAGATGAATCCATGATAAAATTCAAAGGGAGAAGTTCTCTCAAACAATATATGCCAAAAAAACCTACTAAAAGGGGATACAAAGTGTGGATGCTGGCTGATAAAAATGGGTACTGTCTAAAATTTGATATTTATACAGGAAAACCTAGTGGTGATGTCGAGAAAAACTTGGGCTCAAGAATTGTGAAACAGCTATGCGAGGGTCTCGAAAATAAAAATCACTTGGTCTATTTTGACAATTTTTTCAACGGAGTCGAGCTAATGGAAGATCTAAAAAATATGCAGATACATGCCTGTGGTACTGTTAATTCTTCTAGGCGGAATATTCCGAAGTTCAAATCAGATAAGAACATGAAAAGAGGTGATATCGAGTGGTTTACAAGCAATAGTGATTTGTCTGTTATTAAATGGAAGGACAAGCGTTCCGTTTTTCTCCTGTCTAACTTCCATGACCCACGTGATACTCTTGAAGTGAACCGAAAAGAAAAGAATGGATCAATTACCAAAGTGCCTTGTCCAAAAGCCCTTTCTGATTACAATGCCAATATGAATTTTGTCGACAAGTTCGACCAAAATCTTACTTCCTACAAAATAGATCGAAAAAGCCATAAATGGTGGCATCGCATTTTCTTTTTTTTCCTGGATGCTGCTGTTGTTAATGCATTTGTATTATATAAGGAGTTACAGCTACCCACACTTTCTATGAAAGATTTCCGAAGAAGTATAATACAAGGTCTTGTTGTACAACAACTGGTAGATAGAAAAAGATCTTCTTTGTCAACCTTTGAAACTGTTGCCATAAAAAAAAAAAACCATATGTTTCTGAAGAAATTCGATTTGAAGGTTCATCTCATCAACCTGAACGCGGTACTCGACGTCGGTGTGCTTACTGTAGCACTAAAAAAAAACAAGTAAGACCGGACTGGGTATGCAGCGTTTGCAATGTGCCTCTTTGTTTAAATAAAAATAAAACCTGTTTCCAGGACTTTCACAGAAATAAATAGGAATAGGGCGGTGGTACATATATAGCACCACTTATTTTTTGCCAAATATATGAAAAATTACATGTAAAAATAAAAAATATGAAAAGCTTTGAGTATTATTTATATCCTCAAATAGCATTTTATGTGAAAAACAAGTAATAAAAAAAATTTTTTTTTGTGCCCAAATAGAGAATAAATTTTATAAAATAGTTTGCCCCTGAAAGAGTTAAGATTTGAAAAGTTGCGCTATGATTTTCCAAGCATGGAGTAATAAATTGCGTTTTGTTATTCCTAGTTGAAACAAAATACTGCGCTTTGTAGAACACCACAATAATTCACTAGCTATTACAAAAGGAAAAACTGCAGTTTGACGTTTTTAATTAGGTTTATCGGGTAGAGGAACATTGAAAATATACGATCACATGCCTAACCCAGATTTGCCAATTTTTCAAAAACGGCGGTTTGCAGATCACACATCATTGTAGAGTAAAGTCGGCATATATGGAATAGTCGGGTTATATGGAATTTTCCATAATTTTAAAACGGGTGGCCCCATCTCTAAGGTGATGACGACATTAGAATTCTTGTTAAAATCGTAGACTGTTGGCATGAAATAAAATTGCCGCTAGACGCTAGCAACGCCGAAAAAGTTGAGGTTATGGTTTCCACATGTTTAAAGTTTGTGCACGGTGTCAATTAAAATCGTTTTGTGACTACATTTTGTTTAAATAAAGTTGATTAAGCACAAGGTAAGTTGGTTTAGGCACAATATGGTAGAAATTTTAACGAGTTGCTTTGATATTTTTCATGATAACAAATAGAGTACTTGTTTTGTGTACTTTTTGTGTAGCGTGTAATATGGAATATTCCATATTATCCGCCCTATTGCCATCCCATATTACCCGCTAAGTATAAAGTAAGTTTTATTTTATTTTCAGATATAATGGCTTCTCCCTTAAAGCAAAAGCGAAAACAATGGAGTGAGAAAGATATGGAAAACGCCATTGGACAGTAAGAAACCAAAATATGGGTTATTTGGCCGCAGCAAGAGCATATAAAGTTCCACGCTCAACACTTTTTCGCCTCTGTAATACTGAAGGGCCTCCAGCAACTGTTAGTAAAACGAAGTTGGGTAAAAGACCAATTTTGTCAGCGGAGTTAGAAGAGGAACTAGTACGATATTTACTTATAATGGATCAGAAGTTTTTTGGTCTGACAAGAAGGGATGTTCGATCCTTAGCATTCCAACTTGCTAAACGTAACAATATACCACATCCATTCTCTCCTTTACGTGAATCTGCGGGAAAAGATTGGTTTTCATCATTCATGCACAGGCATAAGAATACACTAAGTTTACGAAAGCCCACTGGAACTTCCCTAGCAAGAGCCGTTGGTTTTAATAAGGAAAATGTTACCGAGTTTTTCGACTTATTAGAGAAGACTATGGCGGAGCGAAATTATGGACCTCACCAAATATATAACGTAGATGAGTCGGGGTTGTCCATTGTGCAATCAAGATGTCCAGAAGTGGTATCGCTTAGAGGCAAACGACAAGTTGGTGCTATCACATCTGCAGAAAGAGGTTCACTTATAACCATCGTAATGTGTATGAGTGCGGCAGGTGATTTTGTGCCACCGAGGATCATCTTTCCATGCAAGAAAGCGAGTGACCAGCTAAACAAGGGGGCACCTCCAGGATCCCTGTTTGCTTTTCACCCATACGGGTGGATTCAAACAGACTTATTCACAAAATGGTTTGACCATTTCCTAGAAAAAGCCAAACCTTCAGCAACAAAACCAATACTGCTGATATTAGACGGCCACCATACTCATACAAGAAATCTAGATGTACTTATCAAAGCTAAAGACAATCATGTTACTATTTTATGCCTACCACCACATACGACGCATAAACTTCAGCCCCTTGATAAGACCGTCATGGGTGCATTAAAGACGTTTTATAACGAAGAAGTGAGAATCTTCATGAGGACGGAAAAACGTGCAGTAACGCATTTTGATATTTGCCAGTTATTTGGTAGCGCCTATCTTAAAGTGCAATCTGGGGAAAGAGCCGTTAAAGGGTTTAGTGCCACTGGGATCTACCCTTTAAGAAGGAATATTTTTACAGAAGAATAGTTTGCGGCCGAAATGCAAAAGGAAAATCAAAATTTGCCGAACAATAACACACGTGCTCATAACGAGCAAAATAACTCGCCTAATGTTTATCCTAGTGACATAGTTCCAGTGCCAGAACTAACAAAGAAGCCGGCAACTCGGGGAAGGAAATGTGGACGTACTAAAATAATTACGTCGACGCCCAATAAGGAGGAATTAGAGCAATCAATTAATCTCTCAAAACAAAAAGTTATCCGAAACGTTTTCGATGAACCTGGACCTAGTGGATTAAAAAACAAAAAGCGTAAAGTCACAAAAAAATATGTCTCCTCTAGTTCTTCTGATTCACAATCTGAAGCAGTAGTTGATGACTCATCTGATGAAGATCTGCCATTAAGCTGCTACAATAAAAAGCCAACCGGTGATGATGTCCCATGTATTTTTTGCCTGGAAAAGTTTTCCTCGAGCCGAAGTAAAGAAATATGGGTGCAATGCGTAATCTGCTATAATTGGGCTCACGAAGCTTGTACCAGTGCAGAAAAAGATGTTTTTGTTTGCGATTCCTAGATATACTTAGATATACTTATATATATACGAGTATACCGATGTTCTGAAGTTAAATGGTTTTAGTGAAGTTTTTTGCGTATAATAAGTCTATTCCATATTACCCGATATGCCCGTTCCATATTACCCTCCATTTTTTATTTTCCAACAAAAATGCATTTTTTTAAATGTTTTCGTAAAATTATCGAATATGATTTAATTTTTAATTTAGCACCTGCCACTCTTTGGAGATACTTAGAACTATTTATTAATGAAATATTGCAGCTCCAAACACTTCAGTTTTGATGTTACCGCTATACGAATAATTGGTATTCCATATATGCCGACTTTTAGTAAATTGACGTTTCAGAAACCCGTATAACCAAATCACTCGGTTGGTAAATATCAAAGTCATTCTATGTTTCAATACCGACATAAAAGATGGCGCACCCGGTATTTGATTGAAAAAGGTGTTAAAAACCATTCTCCTGCTATGATAGAGAAGCTACACAAAATGATGTACATTCGACCAAAACTTGAACATGCACACAGCATATGGATCCCCTATTTGCTCAAAGAGATCGAACTACTGGAAAGATTGCAGTGTAAAATAACGAGAATTCCACCAGAGGTTCGACATTTGTCATATGAACAACGTAATTTGACAACACTCGCTGAGCGAAGATTACGAGGAGACCTGATCGAGACATTCAAGATCGTCAGTGGCTGCTACTCATGTACCCTTCAGATATTCAATATGAGTAAGAATCTTCCTCTCCGAGGGAATACCAAAAAAATAGAAAAAGAGAGAACATCTACGTTGATAAGGAGAAATTTCATTTCAAATCGTTTGGTATACATACTATACATCTATCATGATAAAAGACTTTACACAACAGTTTCATCGGACTTTTCCGCCTACCGTTGTAGTGCTAATAATAATGACTTGTCCTTCATTCTATCATTTGCGGTACTATGATAGGAATTGCCTTCGCGACTGTTTCAGTACAAAACAATCTATATAATTCCAGGTGATCCATACATATTATCTGCGACACATCATGAAAAGTGAAGCGTTCAAGTTAGCCATAGATGTCGCTCCCGTTTCTACCATAGACCAATGTTCCATAGCGAGTCTATCTCCATGTTTGGCGTATACTGGCCCAGATGGGCCAGCAAACATGGCAGTGATGGAGGTGAATCTGCCATCCGGATACCAGGCAGATAGAGCATCATTGTATAGTTTGATAGAATCCGATAGCACTTCCAGTAAGTAAGAAACAAGTACAGACTATAGAAACTCAATCTGGCCATTATCGTAAACCTGCAGTAGATTTTAGAATAACAAATATGTCGAAAAGAATCAACGCGTGCCGTCATGGGTGAAATTCGACTTAGCGTTGATCCATAGTTGAGCTCGGTTGATCTCAGTTCAATCATTGATTGTCGTGTACTATACCTGAAGTCCAAAAAGGAATCTGAAAGTTACTAGCGCCATTTGAGATAGCAGAAGAACATAAAAATGTACTTATAAACCTTTTTTGAAAACAGATGGTTTGCGGTTGTGATACTGTCTCATAGATGGCACTAGGATTGTCAATCCCAAACAAAATAAGCATTACAAAGACGCCACAATGGGATCCTAGCATTATCTGATAGATAGATAAATATGCTTTATTATCTGAAGGATACAATCATTCTCAATGACAAAGCTAATTTAAAACTAATAAACTATAACATAATTATTTTGTTTACGTCTAATATTGTAACTACGTTTTATTTTTAAAAATAAGAGTTGCTATCATTATTTTAAGATTTACAAATAAAGACCTGCATTTAGCTCTAGAATTGCTTTGACCTATATATCTAATAGTTCGTGTTTGTAGAAGCTCTTTTTTAAAAAATTTTGGGAACAGACATACCAAAAGGGAACGCTATATATCAATCTACTTTCAAGTATGAAAAAGTAACTGCTTAAGGCTATACTTTTATCTACGTAGTAACTAATTGTTCTCATAATAAAAGAAAAATTTGCTAGTTGAGGAAGCAATTTGTCTACAGGATTAGTAAAATCTAATTTATGATCATCAAACATTTTATGTTGTCTGTTTTGTATATCAATTCAATATTTAAATTTATAAAATCAAGGAAGCATTTGAATGTCATAAATTTTGTTTTATTAACATTGAAAGTCAAGTAATTGTTGCCGCACCATTTTTTGATTGATTGTATATCACTGCCAATGTTTGTCGTAATGTCATTTATATCTGTGTATTGCTAAAGTATTGTGGTATCGTCAGCAAAAGCTACAAATTTAACATTTATGTTTAAGTTTATTAAATCATTGATATAGGCTAAGAATAGGATCGGACCTAATACTGATGCTTGAGGTACCCCTGCGTTATATTTAATGTATTTGAAATAATAATAATGTCTTGATAATGTTACAATTTAGGATAGATTATCAAAATGTTTTAAACCAACTGAGAGAAGTTCCAGCACAAGCACAACCATATTTTCTGAATATTTTCTTTTTGTAGTATATCATGATTTACACAGCCAAAAGCTTTAGAAAAGTCGCAAAAACACAGCAATTGAAATTAGTTTATCGTTTAGATTTGAGTATAACTGTTGGAGTAATGTGAAAATAGCATCCATGATATTTTTGTATCTTTGATATCCAAATTGGTTGTCACTTTTATAACTTTGTTGGTTTTTAGAGTTCAGAATTCATCTAATTTGAACTACATTTTCTATTATTTTTGCTATAATAGTAATTAAGTTTTTGAGTCTATAATTTTCTGGTAAATCGCTTGGACTTCCTTTATAAATATCAATAACTGAGACAGTAGAAGAACGAAACACTCTTAGCTCATTTAAAAGTTGGTCTCTAAATTCATTTGTATGTTCTGCTATTGTCTCACAGATGGCGATTGTATCTTCCAGATCCCTTTTTGGATGCTGGAATACAGTATATGGTTGCCTGTCTTCATGTAGAATACGTTAATCAATGGTTCCATAGAAATGGCAGAGCCTTTTCGATTATCTGTCTTTTGAAGAATCACTGTCATTTTTTAAAATCACATCAAGAGAACCAGAAGCTGTAGATTTCAGTCAATTTTCAACAGTCAAGGAGTAATTACGCTTTATTTTTTGCAGAAATAAAGATGTTTGAAGAAGAAGATAACAAAGTTAATATTTACTTCACGAAAGTAGACAAGCAATTGATGTGTTTCAGTTTCAATATCAACGAAAATACTGAAATAGAGGGAAGAAAAGATTCTGTAGTGAAGGTATTTGACTACTACAGACCAGAATATAATATTTTACAGTTCTATACTTTGAGTAGCAGTTGTTATAACAGATCTGATCTACTAGGTAAGTATGTATGGTAGTTTATTTTTTCCAGTAAAAACAGTTTTTAATAGTCCTTGCTGTAATCTTTTATCGTTAGAGGAACCTGTAATATTTTAATAAAACTGACAGGTACCTTTTTAATGGCTGGATAAGTTTGAGCTCAAACATTATATACAAATATTATTTGTTAAAATTACAGTGAATATTCTATTTTAGATCGTAATTTTGAAACCCAAATAACAATCAATAACATTCCAATAAGCCTGTCAGAATCAAATAATGATTCCAAAAATGTGACGAAAAGAGATACAAGCAGCACACCACAATTAGAACAGATCATAAGTGATAAATGCATCAAAGTAAAAGTAAAAGATGATGCAACCATGAATGAAAAACTTAATCCTGAATTTGTTATAATGAACAATGATATGGAGACGCCAAAAGGTATGAAAATGGTTCAGCTATATGAAAAATGTTTTAGAACATCCGGATTCGATACGTTACGTTCATGAATTATCTAAAATATTTGTGAATTTTCAGGTATGGAGGCAAACATGCCAACTTACATTAAACCCACAAGTGATGAATTGAAAAATATGACTACTTAATATAATTAATTGATTTATTAAAATTATATAAAAATAAAACACATATTATAGAATGTTACGGGATTTTTCTATGATGGTTGAAATTTAATTTTTTGTACATGGTGCTTTTATCAACCATACGACAAAAATGCAAGGAATGATCTCCGGAGTTAAACTCATTCTGTACCCTTGATGATTCAGGCTGCAAAAATCTAATAAGCCCAATCTTCCTCTCACTGAAAGCAGAGCTCTTTCAAATCCTCTAAAACCCACTGAAGTAGTTCGAATGTTTATCGCATGGTTGGTAAATACAATCGGAAATAATTCTTTTGACTTGCTGATGAGGCGACATTATTGAAACATGTTTTAATCAGTAAAAAACCTCGTACATAATTTGAGTGTTTCAAACAGTAGCGGATCCCCTGGGGAGGGGGGAGGTCTAGAGGAGTCTCCCAAAATCACTGAAAAAACTAAAAATTCACATGACATGACATTTCTTGTCACAATGGCATTTTTTCTCAAAAACATTAATGAACTCGTCGCCATGTTCAAATGCCGATTCTCATTTTTTCAATTCAAGTTTCGCCTTCCTCCCCCATAATGTCTCTCTGGATCCGCCACTGTATTCAGGGGGCTATAAGAACGATTTCATTGACAAATAAACCAATTTTAAAGAACGTTTTTGGTCTTAATGTAATATTTGAGTTCCAAGAGAAATTTCGAATAACCTTCACAGGTTATTAAAAAAATAATAATAACGCAAAAAGCTCGAAACTGTATGGACTTGTTTCAGCAGGAAATAGAGGTAGCGGTATATAGCTTTCTCAAAACAATCATGTAAATCATATTTTTATTACTTATTATTGATAATTATAAGAAACAAACCACTCAAAAAGTCATTTCGGGAAATGTGGATCAGGCAAAATGGATAATGTATTCGCCTGTAGCCATATTTTAGTAGGAAAGTGATGACTTACGAGGTGTATACCTAGAATACGTATACCTTCAACAAAGCGTTTCCGGTAAAAAAAAGGACTTGATTTTTGATATGACCGATCCATTTGTACCTAACGAGGTCTGTAAATTAAGTGATGGGACTGTTTTTTTTATTCAAATATAATTAGAATTTTATATTGTCACCCTCAAAATGACTTCCTTCTGAAGCCATACAGGGTTGGAGATGGTTCTTCCACTCCGCATAGCAGTGCTGGAACTCCGCTTCTGGAATAGCCTTTAGGTGGTCGGTTACAGCCGTTTGACTGTCCCAAAATGTGTTTCCTTAAGGTGATTTTTCAACTTCGGGAAGAAAAAAATGTCACATGGTCTCAAATCAAGCGAATAAAGAGGCTGAAGAGCCACACGAATGTTTTTACTGCCCAGAAACCCGACATTGCTGTGCGATAAGGAGCATTATTGTGATGCAACATGTTCTCGCTCTGATGTACGGTGATGTGAGTCAAATTTAACTCTGCCACGATCATTCTGACTGTCAAACGACGATCGGAATGCACAAGATCCCAGGTTCTGTCGATATTTTCATCGGTTTTTGAAGATGAATGTCTTCCGCTTCATGGTTCATGTTCAATCGACGTTCCCCCTTCTGAAAATGACTTAACCACTGAAAAACCTGAGCTCTTGACAAAACACTATCTCCGTACGCCTTTTTAGCGAGAGTTTCCGATGCACTGTGCTCAAGTCTGAAGCAAAACCTGATAGCACACCTTTATTTGAAATTGATGTCACTCATTTTTAGAACACAGTAGAAGAAAAGTGTTTCACAAAAAAAACCGCTACGGACAACCAAATGACTCGAGCCAATTCAAACTTCCCCTGTTTCCCCTCTAAGCCCGGCGCCTCCAGTGTTGCCAGATCGAACGCTACGTTGCCAGTATCATCACTTAATTTAAAGATCTCTTATACTTATAATTTGTGTTCTAAATTCATAACCTACACAAAACAAATAGAGTAATAAAAATTACAATTTTCTCATGTACTGGTCGCCCAGAAGAAGAGTGCCACATACTGTGATCGAAATTTTCAGTGCTTGGCAAGTGAAATTCTCCAGAAGTAAACACTGAGCGACACATCGCAACGGGTCCACAACCGAGACAGCCCTCGGGGATGAATACGTAGCATTCCTGACTAGGTGGACAATATTTTTCTAAGCAGAGGTCTTCTTTTATCCTGCAGTCTTGATACGCTAAAAAAATGTGTATTTTTTCATTTGAAGGCTCAAAACTTTATGAACCTAGCAAGAAATATATGTCCTATCTTACTCGAGCTTATTTCGTAATAGTTATTTATCTAACAAGTGCGGAAAGTGATACGTTTCCGCAAGTGTTAGGAGATTAGATTTTTTCCAACAGCGTGCGTAAAGTACTCACTTTTAACACGCGTGCAGAAAGTAGCACTTGTGCAGAAAAGTTATGCGTTTGGAAAGGTGCTACTTTCTGCACGCAGATGCGTCTTGAAAGAGAAAACAGGTTTTTACCTAACAAGTGTTCGGTATAACATTTTTTCTACCAGCGTGCAGAAAGTACTCACCTTCAACACGCATCTGCGTGCTGAAACTAGCACTGTTATGCATGCGGAAAAGTGCTCATTTCTGCACGCAGATACGTGTTAAAAGTGAGTACTTTCCGCAGACTGATAGAAAAAATAATTTTACAAGACACATGCACATTAACCTGTCTGTCTAGCAATCTAGGCTTCTTCTATTCAAAAAGTAAAAAAATGGTGTCAATTAGGTTGACTCTGCCCTTCCCACGCAACGATGTCGTAAGTTCATAAATGATTATGTTCAGCACAAATCAGCCCCTCTGACCCTCTGAGAAAAAGTCTATCAAAAAGGATACAATTAAAACTCACTTAGCATGATTTTGTCCATTTTCAGGATTTTGCTCCCCTAAGAAAATTTGCCACCCCCCGCTCTTTAAAACTTTAAAAAGTTTAGTAAGGGGGTACACTTTCACAAAAAGGTATCTCTTGACGATGAATGCTCCTTCCCATTGAGAAAAAGTCCTGCGGGCGCCCATAAACGTTGCAAGACACATACGAGGTCTGTAAATTAAGTGATGAGACCGATTTATTTTAATTTTTTTTAAAATATAATTACAATTTACTACTGTCATCCTCAGAATAACTTCCTTCTGAAGTTACAAAGGCTGAAGACGGTTCTTTCACTCTTCGTAGCAGTGCTGCAACTCCGGTACTGGAATAGCCTTCAGCTGGTCGGTTACAGCCGTTTGAATGTTTTAGAAAATGAGTTCTATTGAGGTGCTTTTTCAACTTCGGGAAGAGAAAAATGTCTCAAGGACTCAAGTCAAGCGGATAAGGAGCTTGAGGAGCCACAGAAATATTTTTACTGGCCAAAAACTCGTTTATTGACATTGCTGTGTGACAGGAAGCATCGATTCTTCATGAACGACTTCCGCTTCGTGGTTCATCTTCAATCGACTCTCTCCTTCTGAAAATGCCTTAAACAGCCGAAAAACCTGTACTCTTAACAAAACACTATCTCCGTAGGCCTGCTAAAGTTTAGCAAAAGTTTCCGTTACACTTTGCCAAGCAAAACCTGATAGCACACCGTTGCTCAAAATTGGTGTCACTTACTGTAAAAGCACAACAGAAGAAACCCATTTACAAAAAAAATCTCTACGGTCAACCAAATGGCTCGAGCGAGCTCAAACTGGTACTGAAGGTGGATCATGTTGCCAGATCGAACCCTACGTTGCCAGTCTCATCACTTAATTTACAGACCTCATACACCCTTCCACTGGACCACGACGCAAATGTACGAGGAAATCTATGATGTGTGAAATATGTCTAATAGTTTCGTAGCAGTACCAGGGATGAAAGCGTATGAATAAACTGTCAAACATTCAGATTTTCCCTTCCCCATCCCCTACAATCTCTTAACCCTAAATTTTGGCCCCTGAAATTTTTTTCTGGAAATGATCAGGAGCCGCTGAAAGGTTTGAAAGTTAGAGCTATTTTTCCTTTTTGCCTCCGCCGCCAATGGACCTATTTTTAAAAATTACAAGCATTTTCGTCCATGGGATATTAGTAACCTGATTTCATCAAAATCCGTACTTGTCCAGTTATAGATGGGCTAAGGATTAGCGGACAGACCGACAAACAGACAGAGTGATAGAAATGAGTGATATGATTTTTCGTGATGTACATGTTATAATAACATTCCAAAAATATGTCATTTTCGAAATTTTTGGCGATTAAAATTCTTCCTCGCCAGTGGCTTGGTAGGTAAAGAGGACTTTGGATGCAATGACATTTTAGAAAAAAAAATATGGAGCAAAAGTAAGGTGGGTAATATAAATACGCTATTTTTATTTAAAAGCGCAAAAGTTGAACCTAGTAAAAAATCTGTATCTTTCTTAAATTTTTTTATTCATGAAATACTATTTGTCTAAGACATATGCACAGATGGAAAAACTGTCGAGTAGTATAGTTCTCTTCTATATTGAAAGTAAAGAAAAAATTATGTCCAAATCACGATTTTTGAAAAAAGGAGAAAAATAATATTTTAGGCGAGTAAATCGGCTGAGTGGATTACGAATCTGGTGTCGCTTTTTTGCTGAGATTGATGGCGGTGGAGAAAAGCCTAATATCATATTCCTAATAGGACTTCGTGACACTATCTGTCTGGTAGTTTGGTTAACTAGGTATCTATTCTCGGTAAGTAAATCTAGGATTTTGATGAAATTTTGTAAAATTTTTGAAAATTATGAGGTGTACAGTCAAGAGAGCAGCTACCCCTCTTTGTCGTGGACATGCTAGCATGCTCCACCTAACGCTATACGTTTTGCATGTTACCTTTATCTGAGAAATTGTGAGATATGTTTTTGTTTGTACTCTAAGCTAAAAAATAGCATTCTTTTGTATCTTGATATGAATACCTTCTGTAAAAATATGATGGAAGAACAATTCGATTCCTGTACCTCTTTGAGTCCTGTACGTCTTTAGGTGAATAAAATCCTATTAGAGATTTTAAAAAAGTTTGTTTATCAAATAAAAAACTTATTTGTACAAGTTGAGGGCGTAGTTAATAAAAATACGTACTTGCCATACAAATTCCTCCCAAACAGCATCCACCACAACAAGAATCATCATCACTGCACTGAAAAAATGAAATATAAATATGCAAAATCCTCTTTTAACTTTTATCTCATAGCTAACGCCCGTTGCAATAGAAGTTGAGCACACAAAAAACGACAATTACAATATGTTTGGGCATTTTTCTTTTATTTTATTGTTGGCTTACTACTAGCCTAGATTGTTTATCCCATTTTAGTCTATACACTAACAGTATACTTACCGTTTCTCCATACTCCCTGCACATTTGACCACAAACCGAACTCGAAAAACATAACAGAGTTAAAGTTGCACATTGCAATACGATCATCTTGCTAAAATAAGATTATCTATCTGGTAAGACGATGCTAATTTCAAGCAAGCCTTGGGTGATAATAAATGGGTCAACAATACGCGCGCGATGCTCAAAAAATTAATAACGTTCAAGTACAACAAAAAATAATTGCTTAACATAATTAAGTGTCACAAAGCTATTAATTTGTTAAATCGGGAAATTGGAAGATGATTAAATCATTCTATAGTCCGGAATGTCGACCAGTTTATAGCGAAGTCCGAAGAAATCAAAGTCATAATTTTTGGCAGTAAAAATAAAAGACTTGATCTGCATGGCACATTTTCGGTTATTATAAACGATGTAGTTTTGCCAGAAACCAGAGAACACAAAAATGTTGGCAGATGGCTGGACTTTGAAAATATATACAAAATATGTTAATTTCTTGTGCCAAGCCTCCTAAAATGTGTTAGGACAATTGACATGAAGGTCAAACTATGTGAATCTTTGATTTTGTCTTAACTGGCATGCTGTGACTGCATATATGGACGTGCCCTTTTGCATACAGATATTTCACGCATTCAAATCAAGTATCCGGAACGGATGTCCACATCAGTGAGAGTTTCGTGGATTCTGAGTGGCTTACCTTGATTAACGTAAAAAAACATTTTCTGACTTCAGGACTCAACATCGTTACTTATCACAATAAACTTACCGGGCTGCCGGTTAATAAAGTAACTCGCAATAAACATCTTTTGGTTATCCCAAATTATTCAATTCGCTACGTTTTGAAGGATAATGTATTTTTCTTTTTAAGTCGTCTTGTGCTTTTATAAAACAAATATTTGTGATGTTCTCGTATGTTCTATTTTATATTGTACGTTATCATTTTTTATATATTTTGCATAAGTGTTATATTTTATGAATGATGAATTAGACCATTTATTGTTATTATGTTAACAGATGCAATTACGAAGGCCATTTTTAAGGTAACAATCGCTTCTGCATCGTGCCTGCTCATCCTGTCACGTGACGTCCTTTCAACCTCAAATACTCTTGGCCAGTCTTTCACTACTCTGTCATTATCTTTCACGTGTCGGTCAGCGTCGGTTATGTGGTTATACTGCTTTGTTTGTCGCCACGTCGATCAGTAAACCAACCGATTGTGAAGAGCTCACAGTAATTCAATTTTTAAATGCAAACAAGTTAGTCCTGATATAAATGCTAAGAGGTGGTACGAAACATTATTGAAGCTTAAGCGCGCTGTGCAAAACCGCCGGCGGGGCCTGCTCTCTAGCCGTGTCATTCTGCTTCACGATAACATCTAGAGCAAAAAATTAGGATTACAAGTACTCAAGGCTGATTAACTAATTTTCTTCCTTTTATCTCTATTCTGACCTTTTCGAGTCACTCTTTATATTGAACCTCACACCCTAAAAGTCTGCAAACCAAAAATCCGGGTGCTATAAGATAATTGGCTTTATATCAACTTCAAATCAAACCCTTCACTGGAATTAATTAACTAGTAGTTCTGAATAGTAATTGAAATTTTATTTACAACCAATATGAGGCGTTTATTCAACTATGAATAGGAACGTACAAATTATTTATATCTTATATTTGTTTTATATGAAAAACATAACTCTAGTGATAGCAAGAACGGCGCGGGTATTACATATGTTGAAAATTGACATTTCGTCGGTTTTTCTACAAGATGATAACCTAGTACAAGCTGTTGTGCACTTGTTGTGAACTCGTTTTGTAGCTGTACGTGTTGCTTAAACGTCAGCGATCATAGCGAGCAAACGTGGAATGAACTATTTGCTCACTAAAAACTACATTGCCTGCAAGATGACATTTCGTCGTATTTTTACGTTTTTTAGATAATACCCCTGCGGATCATTGTCCTCAAAAACTTCCGGAAACAGGTTTTGGGCGAGACTAGGGCAAGCTGTTTTGACCAGTTTTCAAGAAATTTAGACCACTTTTCGCCGCCGGTCATTCATGCTCAAAGCTAAATACATGTCGATCACTGTCTTTAAACAGCAGCGTTACCACCTCTTGGACCGTTGTCGCAGGATTTCCTTTTCCGTCGTTGAGAAATTCTGAAAATACAGAATCTTAGGAATAATTACGAGGTACGTTGAAGGGTGATTCTTCCTTGGAAGGTTGATTTTATGTTTAAGAATAAACAATCTTCTTCAAAAGAAAAATGGACTGTGTTCATTACTTCCACGAGAATCACTACCAAGTAGGATGCCTATGGCAATGAAGATGGAAATTGTAGGTGCGTGTTCAAATACAGCATAGGGTTGAGAATTTATCCTTTTATGCTAAATCACCCCATTAGAAATGATCCATTTTACAATATTTTAGACTTGGATGGTTGGAAATATACTACAGAAGAACTCTGGATCCCGAACTATCGATTTAATATGTAAGCGCATCTCAACAGTTTGACTTTATTTATTGTTAGGTTAAATTAAACTTGAGTATAATACACAATAAATAATCATTTTTTTGTACAGCCCTGCATTCGCAAAAAAAAACATGTCAAAAAGACAACAAAAAGGAACTAAACACGATACAGGTGATTGTGCTAATAAATTGTACAAGAACTAAAATTGCTAACATTATCTGCTAAGATTCGTCACGTATATATGTTTCAGCTCTGTTTTCTGATTGTTTTCAAATAGGGCAGCTCTGTTCTGACCTTCACCTTTCTTCACCCAGTGGCCATATACTCGGAAGGCGCAACCATCCACAATCTGTAAATTACAAAATGTTTACCCTCTAACTGGTTCAAGGTAAAGGTCAAATTTCAAAACATTTATATTTGGGAAACTTGAAATTGGTTTGGAAATAATTTACCAGAAATAACTGATAATCAACTACAATTTCATCTTGAGTTCATTTGAAGTTTCAGTTTTCTAATAGCGTTTCCTTTTGGTGAAACTAGTCTTGCACTTTTGTAGATTTTATGTTCTTTTGGCAAAACCAGTGTCTATATTCATGTTATTTTGATATATACTTATTTTGAACTAGTTTTACTCTCTGCAAAATGTCGCATGGCCTGGAGGAACTCGTGCTAGTGTAGTCCGCTGTCAACAGTGTCACATTTTGCAGCTTTTAGTTGTGGTTTTACAAGCAACCATTTTCTTAGAGTTAGTTCCCTCACAGTTTTCTCTTCGAGAATTTACCTTAACAGCCCGGAAAAGGTCAACGAAATGAACGACAATCATTGACAGATGATAGCACGAAATTCGAAATGACAGATATTTTATATACCCACTTTTGGTAGCATATTTCAGGATGAACCAGAGCGGTGTTTCAACCACCAAAACTGCAACAGTTTCATCAAATGAAAACGCTATAAAAAGTTGTAATGACTTTCAAGATCAATGCCATGTTTTGAAAAAGCGAAAATTCTACAGATGTCTTTGACTTTGGCACAAGAACACGGTTCAATTTTAAGGTCATTCAAGTCGATTCAATAATTCCGATTCCAAGGTCATATTTCAAAGACCTTTTAAGGCATTCCAATCCACACAAGGTCAAAGTCAACGTCACTTATTTTTATCGCTTTTATAGAGATTTGAAGTTAGATTCTCGAAGTTATTTACTCACTTTTCTCAACAGCTTCAACCTATAGGGATCAGTTCTCGCTGTGGCTAGACTCAATGGTTCTGGTGTGAACCTCATCCTTTGCAACCTCACCATAGCTCTTACTACTAGAATTGCCCATTTAAACTTACGCTTGGCGTCAAATTTCTTGTGTTGGAGTTTCTAAAATAAACCTTTAGTAAGATAACTTGTAATTTTGAGTCAGCATTTTCCCCCAGTAGCCCAGACAAAATACACCAAAAATTGCAAAAATTCCCATAAAGCTGAAAATTGGTACAGACATTAAAAGACACACATGGTGAAAAAGGCGACAGTTACCCAGTAATATTTAAGACAAAAAACAATTCAATAGTAGGAAGGACGAAATCGGAAATTCAGAACATAGCTATGATTCATGATGGGACAAAATTGTAAAAATCCCTACAAAAGTTCGCTTTTTTGTTAGCATACCAATCAAGGATAAAAATTGCCTTACAATAATCTAAGCTCAATATGCTCTTTGGATTCTTGCAAGGGAAGATTTAAGCTTTAATTTAGACACCTGGAAACCTTAAAAATAGTTCTTTCAACCGAACTTTTGAGCATTGAATGTGCCACTTTTTATGGTCTTTCATTTCAACTCGGAAATGGGCAACTTTATAGGGAAGTTACTGATGAACTTTTATGTTCAGAATGATCCGATACACCTAAAAAAGACCACCTACCTGTGGGCATACTGAAATTTGAGACAATACACTGCTATTCAAAGGTCTCGCCAATCTCTAGTCATTTTCTATTTCGTCATGATTTTTAACTATTTTTGAAGGTAAATTAACAAGCTACTGCGAAGGTAGATCTATCCTATCTGTAGCCCAATTTGGGTTTCGAAAAAATTCAACCACAATAAAAGCACTTCTCACCCTATCAGAGGAAGTACTGGAAAATATAGAAGACAACTCTAATGCTATAGCAACCATGTGTGACTTAACGAAAACATTTGATTGCGTCAATCCAAATATACGATTGAAAAAACTAAAATACTATGGCATAAGAAATACCGAGCTAGCACTACTTTACGTTTGTTATCGCAAGGAACACTACTTGGCCCTCTGCTATTTCTAATAGAGAATATATAATGACCTGCCATCGAGTATCCTGCTTCATATTCGCAGACGATACCACCTTGCTGTCTAGACCTGTCCAAAATACGGGTGTGGAAAGTTTAAAACAAGCTAAAAGATGGTTTTTAGCCAAAAAGTTATGGCTAAATGAAAACAAGACATATCATATTACATTTTTCTCTAACAGGTGGGATGCAAGATCTGAACTAGTAAAGCTTCTAGGAATATTACTCGACATCGCATATTGATTATTTACATTCTTGACTGTCTATCAATTTTTGTTCTTAGGCAGCTACGCAGATGCCTTGATAACCATACTTTGCGGGTAGTGTACTACAGCATATTCCATAGTCACATTACATATGGCACATTCTATGGGGAAACTCACTACTATCTAACAAAAAACGGCTTTGAGGATAATTACAAATTCCAATTATGGATCAACGTGCAGAAATTACTTCAAAAATTTATAAATACTACCACTTCCATCAATTTATATTTTAGAAGTCCTATATTATTTGCCCAGAAATCTAAAACAAATATCAAACAGAAATACACACCCATGCACTAAGTAGTGTTAATTACCTAAGAAATTCGTATTCGCGACTGAATATGATCAAAAATAACAGACGTAACGTTAAATTATTTATTTATTCGTCAGTAAATTAGTTTGTAAGACCGCACATGTAGATTGTAGTGAGGTCAATAAATGGTATGGTATGTTGATTTGTACTTCTTTTTTCCTTAAATAAGGCAACAATGAACTTTGAAATAACTTATTTTCATTATTTTTCTCTATTCGCCAAAAAATTTGATCCAAATCACGATTAAAATTGTAGAACCAATTGATTTAAATCATTTTTGCAAGCGATTCAGGAGCAAGATCGGCTATACGTAAACTGGGTACTTAGATTAAGAATCTGAAGCCAGTTTTCCGTTGGTGTTAACGATTTATTTTCTAACTTCAAATAGGAATTTTCATAACTATATTCTTAATCAGCGTCTCAAATTGTACCATTGTACCGAGTTTCATTCACGGCAATAAAATTGGAAACTATGCATTACAGAATTTCAAAAATTCTCGCAATCCTTCCGACGGGTAAGTCGAGTGCGTAGATTTCAAATATGACGTCAAATTGGTTCTAAAAGTGCTCTAATCGCCTTTTCCATCGGAAGACCCACTGTTAGTACACACAAGAAGCAACAGATAGCCATAGGTTATCATCCCGGTAAATTCGTAGAACATAGTTATTACCAGAACCAGCTGTGAGATACGGCTGAATTTTCTACTGTTCCTGCGAAGAGAATATTTCAAAGGTGCAATGTCCTGATCCCATAGAGGCTGAAACGGGTATAAAGTGCAACATACACTACTATATTAGATACAAAAACGGAGCAAGTAGGCTACAAAATCTCAGCTAGGCAAGATGCCGAAAAGTTACAGTACACTTACAATGTGTACAGAGAAATATTTCCAACCAAAACGTGGGAAAAAGTATAAGAGGGTTGATCCCTATGCTCTATCCCTAACCCAATAGCAATAAAGAAAATTTTCATTTATATTTGTAATTTTTTGCCAAATTCCTACTAACATCAACATACTTTTCTAATCAGTGTTACATTATTTCAATAGCTTCCTGGTGGAAGACTTATCCGACTTATGAAAACTACCACTTAAAGGCAGACATCTGTAGATTACTTGCTTTTTTCCTCGTAATTGTTGGCGTAATTATATAAAGTACGAAAGCTTCAATATTTAAATAACGCTTGGCAATATCGGCAGCGTACAGTTATAAAGCCGTAAGTTTTATAACGCAAAATTCTGGCCATCTAGGCCAACAAATTTAAGGCATAGAATTGAGTAAACTAATTAAAAGTGGCTAGCTTATTTACAAATATTGTATAAATTATGGTGTTTTCTATATTGTTTCAGAATTATCAAGAAAGTAATTCAATGAACTGAGAGACCTGTGTCTTGCAGCACAATATGAACCTGGGATAAATCTATCTAGATTATTTGTTGAAAATGTATTTGTGCGCCATAATTAGAATTGGACTTTATTATTCTGAACCTTGTTCCCAGCAAAACTGCTGAAAGAGATATTACCTTCAATGGGGATATTTTATGGATATACGTTCATGAAATTATCCTTCAATGCCGGAAATATCATTTTCAACAATTTTAAATTATGAACGAAATCCCCGGCACATTCCTGGCATTCCTTATTCCAGGCGCATTCTCCGCATTCCTTCGATAGTTCCTCCAGATCTCCAGGCAAGTAGGCGGCGCCACCATTTAACAAACGTCAATGGTTTGCCATCACTTAACGTCCACCTCTTCAGTGTTATATGTAATGTCATTTACGCTGCTAAGCATATTTTTGAGATTACTGCAATTTTTTTTCATTACCCTGGCGTCACTTCCACTCCTCTTATTTTTGTACTTGTCATTTCTATACATTAAAAAATATCATAAGCAATATAATAAACTGCTGCGACCCGCTATCAAAATATGTGTATAACATCCCATAAATAGATTTTCCCAAAATGTATTTGTTTATGAGTAATATTCCGTCCACACATGGATGGGTCACCCTGTATATATATATAGAAAATGATATATATTTTTTCCCTCTACATCTTCGTTTCCTCAGGTTACACCCGTATCCGGATGTATGAGCATGTGTATCTACTTTTGTAGTTGCATATGTGCAGTCATTTCGGGCCTGATGAAGCCAACCAGCAGAAATACGTATCGCTCGGGTTACTATCCACTTTCCTTCTTTTTGCGGATTTTGCCCATTATTTTCCTATATATATATATATATATATATACAGTAATGGACAAAAGTATATAGACAAATATGAATATTTACCTAAATACCTTTAGAAAACGAATTCATACTTCATTGCTCCATAAACAAGTGCGTTATTAGTAGAAAAACCAAATTCCTTGTTTTTACATTATCTGCAATGAACACAATACAAGTCTGAATATAAGCACTTTTTTATTAGGGACAAAAATATGTAGACAAATTCTTTTCAACATTAGTTTAGTATAGTTTCGTGTCAGAAGAGGATTAGTTTGTGTTCATCAAGTATTGTGGAATAAGTCGAGTGATTTTAAGACCATGCCGCGTGGTCCAGAAATTTCTTTCGATGTGAAAACTAAGATCATTGAGTTATACAAAGATGGTCAACGTCAAGTCGACATTGCCAAAAATTTGAAGCTGAAGCGTAAAGCAGTTTGGGCAATATTGAACAAATATAAACAAAAAGGTATCTTGGAAGCCTCTAAGCGAAGTGGTCGGCCTAGAAAACTAAATGCTAGATCAGTTAGATTAATAAAAGTAATTTTGTCCAAAGATCCGTTTAAAACGCCAAGACAAATAAAAGCCGAAATCGAGACAAAAGGAATTGTCAGTGTTTCTACGAAAACTATAAGTAGAAGATTAAATGATTTGAAGTTATTTGCACGTCGCCCGAGTAAGAAGCCGCTAATCTCGAGGAAAAATCGTAAGAACCGATTACAATTTGCACGGTTGCATCTTCATTGGTTTCAGTGACGAATCCGAGTTCAATATGTTTGGATCAGATGGTGTTCACTACGTTAGACGTCCTACTGGACAAAGATTGAACCTCAAGTACACTTTGCCCACTGTCAAAAATGGAGGCGGGTCTGTTATGGTTTGGGGGTGCTTTTCGGGGTTTGGGATGGGACCTTTACATAGAATAGATGGCATTATGGATAAGTTTGTATACACAGACATACTAAAGCATGTCATATTACCCTATATGGAAGACAATATGCCCGTAAGATCAATCTTCCAGCAAGATAATGACCCGAAGCACACTTCAAATCTCGCAAAAATTCTTTCTGGATGAAAAAATACAGTTCTCAAAGGCTTTCACAGCCTCCCGATATAAACCCCATTGAAAATTATTCAAACAAGGATGAACTTTTTGCCGCTTTAGAGTAAAAGTGGAGACAGATTGATGAATCTTATATCAAGAATCTTCTACAATCTATGCCGAGGCGGTGATTGATAATAATGGTTATGCTACAAAATATTAACACAAACATGGTTGGTTTTCTATAATTGAATGAACTTTGCTTCTTCTTTCTATAATTGTTTTGCTTTGTCTATATATTTTTGTCCTTCATAGTTCCAGTTTTTTTCAATTAATTTTTTATTGAAGGGAGTCTAATGAGTTTATTTACCTATAAGTGACTATTATGCTATAACAAATTATGTATACAGGTTGGTGTATTAATAAAACAAGTTAAAACAGAAATACAGCACAATATTAATTTGTCTATATACTTTTGTCCATAATATATATATATATACTTATATATATACTATATATATATATATATAGGTGAAAAATTAAAGCTTCCGCTTTTTGTTGGGTACTTCGACAAGATTTAAGCAAAGAGGACTCTTTATACTTTTTTTAATTCTCTCTAGCTTTCAATGGACTTTGCCATCATCATCAGGAGCTGCAATTACAATGATAACAGTAGCAACAAAGGTGTAAAATGAATTTAAATTGACTCAACTTACAGTAGTATGTGAGAATGTTGCTAATTGTTGTTTACGTATAGGATGAGGGAAACGTCCAGTAACATGGTGAGAGCTGAATAGGTTGCACAATAGTCAAAATTTATACAAAACATGACAAGAACAAGTTATATATATATATATATATATAGCTTCCAAACACAACTTTTACTCTGTGCGTCTGTGAGCTTCCAATCTATAGGATGTTTCAAAACTGATGGGACTGAAGACTTATCTTTAATAAAGACCCATTGAATTTATTTAGCTAATGGTATCTATATCATGTTTAAAGTATCTTTTTCAAAGATTAAATGTCACCGACCTGGCCACACATGTTTCCCTGATGCCAACACAAGCAGTTAAAATCAAAATATTATCTGACCCTCTCAAATATGTATCATACAGCATAGATGTATATGAAAACAAAAAATGGGTATTTTTCTTAGTAGACAGTGAAAACCCAAATAATGTATATTCACCCATTAACAACATTTGTTTAAGAAACATCTGTGCAAAGAGGTCAAGAGTGAAGCATAGGAATCAACACCAATACCAATATAATCATATAAAACTTAGCACATCACCAATCAGAATGGTCATGTAGGACGAAAAAATGTAAATATAAGTGTAAAAACGCCGTACACTTATGAAATAGAATAGCATAAACAGAAATATGTAATAAAGCAGTTACAAAATAAGCAAAATAATGTGGATTTCTCATTTTCAGTTTACTCACCACTGTCTGGAAGAAAGGATGAGTTAAAGCTTCGGAAATTGAGATACGTTTTTTAGGATCAACTACCAGAAGTCTCCTGATCAAATCTTTTGGCTCCTCTGAAAATAAAAGGTGTTTTCAAAATGTTATCCAAGAATTTTTATTATTTAAATTCTTCATCCACATAATTAATCATAACGAACTGATTTTATTATGATATTTTGTGTGTACCTGAAATATCACTCCATTCGGGCGACGAGAACGTATAATTTCCTTCCATTATGTTTCTTAGCATAACCATTTGTTTCCTATGCCAAAAAGGTGGACATCCAACCAACCTAAAACACGTTATTAGAAACTAATATCTAAAGCGAGGCTGTACATTTTTGGGTTGTTTACTCATTGGTGACACATTTAAGTGTGATTATTTTTTCAAACTTGGACCACTTATCAACATATCAACTGTTACAAAATAGGTCAAATGTCACGAATTTTTGTGGATATGGACTTCAATACGCGCATCTGTGCATGCACAATGCCGCTGGAATTTTACAAAAAATGGTACAGGTTGGCGGAAATTTTTGTGTATGCTCACGATTACAATATTTTTGTACGGCTCAAAAAACGTATTACGGACGTATTGAAAAAAAATCCTAATAAATACATTTGCGCTGAAATATAGAATACAGGTATCAAGAACGGATTAAGGACTCGCTATAGAGGGAGAGGGGTACGTATTGGTGGTCACAGCATTCATGTTCAAGAAGATCTGAGAGCGAATGCCCTTGTGACAATTGAAGACCGAAGGAAGGGCGGCACACGTCTCCACAATTCAAGTCTAGCAGGGTAATTTTAGCACCACGATACAACAGCATCTATGGGAAGGCTCTAAATCCACCCTTGACAGGTATTTTTTACCAGATTTCTTTGTCGTTGAAATAACTATGATGAAAAATTATTTTTATACGGTTCTACGGAGGTACTATGGTATTTATGGTATTTATGCAAGACTAAAAACAGTAAATGGCGTCAAGTTTTTTGCGATTACAATACTTCCTCGCCAGTAAACGTAGGAAGTAAATCATGAAAAATTCAAGGAATCACGAAACTACCAACCCTTTCAACTTGTGGAATCATGTCTTATTTTGGCAGGTGATGTTACCTTTAATGATTCATGATACAATGTTTGAGGTACCCAAACCAAGCTTTTTTTGAGATTGCTATTTATACTTACAATGTATACATAATGACGCCACACGCCCATCTGAAAAAAAAGAGGCAAATCAGTTAAAACATCTGTGAAAATAGTATAATTTCGAACATACATATCCACTTCAAATGAGTAACCTGGTGCATCATCCAACATATTGCACTTCAAGGTCTCTGGAGCTAAGTATCCAGGTGTACCACACAGATCTAAGGAAAATAACGGAAAAGGTTAATTTTATAGATTCATTAGCATATTCCACCAGAAGACACCTAATTCAATTGAAAGTATGGCCAGACTAACAAAATAATAAAACAATCAAGGGTACAGATTAGTTACTTTCGCTACTACAATACTATACCAGTACTATACAGGTAGAAGTCGACATCAAGCCGGAAACGGGGTATAGGCCAAGTCAAAATAGTTGTCAGAAAAGTAAAAAAAAGTCGTGAATGTGCTTTGAAGATGGTATAGTAACACAAAAAAATATTGATTGCAGAACGAATGAATGGTTATTTTATAGAAAGTATAAACGAGATAGTGGAGTCAATCGAAGATGAGAATCCAAACCTATGTCACATGCAAGTTACTTATAATTCTTCTATGAGTCAATTTCAAACAATAAACATCAGCCATCTTTCAAAAGCTATTTCAACATTAAACTCGAATGGAAATCCTAGTGGACATCTTTCAAAAATGGTTGTAAAAGAATGTTTCAACATTATTGGAGAGAAGTTATTATTGCTAGTGAATCACTGTGTAGTGTGTGGTGAAATTCCTTTGAAATTAATATGTTCTACAATTAGTCCTGTTCCAAAAGTGCAAAATTCTGAGTTATATACAAACATCGGCCAATTAATGTACTGCCAGATGTCGCGAAACTCTTAGAAGGAATCATATATGAACAAATCATTGAATATATTTAAGAAAACAAGATATTAACAAAATTCCAAGCAGGATTCAGAAAAAATGTATTCCTATGAATCAGCAGTTCAAATGATAGTAGAAGAATGGAGGTTTACAGTAACATTGTTCTTGGATTTCAAGAGGGCATTTGAAACTATCGACATGCATTGTTAATGAAATTGCATTACTACAGATTTAAAGGTTTGGTATTCAACATACTACAAAATTAATTAATCAAAAGAAGTCGAATAACTGAAATTGGCAATACATCATCAAGCATTAAAAACATTTCGGTAGGGTGCCACAGGGTAGCAAATTAGGTCTGTTACTATTTATTCTGTATACGAGGGATGTCTTTTAAGTTTTGTATATAGAAACATAGTATGCCGAGCGGATCGAGCTTCAGTACTGAATCTTAACCTCACTCTTTAGTAAACTTAAATTCAAAGTTTCAGAACAATACGTGCAGTGTTCTCACTACAGTGAATTTTTAAGAGTCACCAAGCCATTAGAAAAATGGAACTCAACCGAGAACATTTTCGCGCCATAATTTATTACAACTTTCAGAGACAATTATCGCAACAAGAATGCCTTGCTGAGTTACTGTCTGTTTTCGGCATCGAAGCGCCACATCAGTCGACAATTTCCCGTTGGTATGGAGAATTCAAACGTGGACGGGTAAGTCTTAGCGACGATTCCAGGGTGGGTGCACCAAAAACGGCAGTCACCCAGGAAAACGTCGATGCTGTGCGCAAACTCATCATTGAAGGTAGACATGTGACATATCGCGAGATTGAGGCGTTCTTGAAGATCTCAAAGACCTCAATTCAAAAAATTTTACATGTAAAATTAGGAGTAAGAAAATTAGTTTCTCGTTGGATACCCCACCTGTTGACTGAAGAGCAGAAAGCAGCCAGGGTTAATTGGTGTCAAAAAACGCTCGACCGTTTCAATTCCGGAAATTCAAAAAATGTGTACAGCATTATTAGTGGTGATGAATCGTGGATTTACTGTTATGAACCAGAAAATAAACGACGGTCGGCTGTTTGGGTGTTCCAAGGTGAAGAAAAGCCAACAAAAGTCATCCGTTCTCGAAGTGTTTTGAAAAAGATGGTCGCGACATTTGTGTCAAAAGCAGGTCATATTGCAACAATTCCTCTTAATGAGCAAAGAACTGTTAATGCGGATTGGTATACCACCATTTGTTTGCCAAAAGTCATCACCGAGCTTCAAAAAATCAACCCTGAAAGAAGAATCACCTTCCAGCAAGACAATGCAAGCTCGCACACAGCCCAAAAAACAAGACAGTATTTAACGGAAGAAAACGTGGAATTATTGGACCATCCTCCATATAGTCCCGATCTAAGTCTTAACAATTTCTTTACCTTCCCGAAAATTAAAAACAGACTGCGTGGTCAAAGATTCCAGTCACCAGAAGAAGCAGTTGACGCATTCAAAAATGCCGTTTTGGATCTGCCAGCAAACGAGTGGAATAAGTGCTTCGAAAATTGGTTCGAGCGCATGCAGATGTGTATTAATCTTCGTGGAGAATACTTCGAAAAACAATAAAGGCATTTAAAACTACTCGTATTAACGATATTCCTGATGTTTTACAACACTGCAAAATTCAAATATTTGCTGATATATACAGGGTGGGCCATCCATGTGTGGACGGAATATTACTCATAAACAAATACATTTTGGGAAAATCTATTTATGGGATGTTATAAATGACATTTGAGGGGACACATTTCTAAAATATTGGCCATTATACATGGTGTCCCAATTTCGACCTACATTATCAAAGTTGTGATTTTTCAAATAGAATGACTCAAATTTTATTGCATACTTGGATAAACCAATTCAAAAGAAGAAAATTGATATACTATGGGGTTTTGGCAATTAGCTACTGAGATATAAGGTGTTTTCTTCAGCAACCCCTCAGTCCGCCATTTTGAAATTTCGAGTGCTGAATTTTGTATCAAAAAAACCTTACACAGCTTTTATTTTATTTGTTAGTTTTTAAAATTTTAATTTTTGTTCATAGAGGATGGTCAAGAACGCAAATTGTAGTTGTTCTCAAAAATTTCAAATGCATCACCCTGTATATTTGTCCAAGTTTGGATTCATTTTTTATAAGCTTTTTTTGATACTAGAGACACATAAGGGTTTTTACGGCTATTTTTTCGGTTATTAGCACGTCTTTTATGGACCGGCTTAATTCCCTAAAATATTACAAACAGGTTCCCTAATATGCGACATCCAAGGCCGAAAACATTTTCTACACTACGAGAACGTTCTGAATCAAGTGGAGAAGTGGAATATAGTAAAAAATGTATAAATAATCAAAGTGTCACCAATGAGGCGAATCAGTTGAAGGTTCCATTACAGTTGCAGGAAAATCCCCATTTAAGTGCACGGCAAATTGGAGCAGAAACTGATATATGCAGAACTTCTGTCCAAAGGATTATTCACAAGCATGGGTACCATCCATATCACCTATGCTTGCATCAAGGCCTTCGTCCTCAGTATTTCGCAGCTGGAATGGAATTTAGTAAAATGATGCTAAATAAAGCGAGTGAAGACACTACTTTCCTGGATAAGATTCTTTTTAGCGATGAGGCAACTTTTAACAGGATATGTGTTGTCAACAGGCATAACATGCACTATTATGTGGCGGAAAACCCCTACTGGGTTAGGCAAATAGATTTGCAAAATAAATGGAGCTTGAATGTTTGGGGAGGCGTTATTGACAAGTTATCGGGCCTTTCTTTTTCGACAACAGATTAACAGGTACAGAATACTTGAATTTTTTGATCGAGAATTTGTCTTTGCTTTTGGAGAATGTCAACCTGCAAACTCGGATGCATATGTACTTCCAACATGATATAACAATCGTTGGATTATTCGAACCCACTGTTTGACTTTTGTTTCCATGGATGATGTGATTTTTTTCCTTAATTTTGGTGCGTTGTTCTATTAAAAGCTTAATAACTCTAAATCTAGTGATTTTATTTGAATCAAACCTTATACCGAAAAAAACTTATAAAAAAATTAATCCAAACTTGCACAAATATACAGGGTGATGCATTTGAAATTTTAGAGAAAAAGTACATTTCGCGTTTTTGATCACCCTGTATGAGCAAAAATTTTCCCAAAATGTATTTGTTTATGAATAATATTCCGTCCATACATGGATGGGCCACCATGTATATATATATATATATATATATATATATATATCCTTTAATTTCTTTGGGTAGAAGGCAAAGTATTGCAAAAGTACACTCTTATAACTTAAAATCTCAAGCTTTCGAAGAATTTTTTCTTCATCGTCTGGAGCTGGAAACAATTATTAAAATAGCAACTAATAGTAATTAGGAGAAAATTATTTACTTACTAAGTCGGCGACATTGTTGCTGAAATTGTTTTTTAAACAACAGTGAAGGGAACACATAGTCGACGAATAAAAAACTGGACCGATGAGGTTCGATTAGGACGGAATTATTTTATTGTTAAATGGCAAAGCATTTTGAAAGGTTTTAATTAAAATTAGGCGTTGATTGATTTTGGAAGAAATTTGGAGATTTTGAAACTATCAACTATTGAAAATTCCCCCGAGATTTCATTTTTTTTTCCACTGATAACCTCCACATTATCCAACACGTGCCGGCCGACTGACATTCTACAGCAGCGTATGAGGTGTGACCTTGAAATTTATTGGTAGGTCACCCATTATGTAGTACAGTGAAGTGTGTTGCCTAATACTAAGGCGTTTTTGTAATGTATAGTGCAAGAGGTTGCGCTATTGTTGACCGATGAAGTGCGAAAAAATTTTCAAAACCCAAAAGAAGTTGCTTTGGAAGGAGTGTGATTTGGATGTCCTATCAAACAACTGAAAAATCCGTAGGGGGTATTACCTTTTGAGGACGAAAACATTGAGAAATTTTGATTTGATTTTATTAAGATAGTGAAAAATTATTGTGTAGATTGTGCGATTATTGGGACAAATCTATGTTGGGGAAGATGTGTTGCTTTTCCAATTTTTCAGCAAATAACATATATATATATATATATATATATATATATATATAACGGGTGATTTTTTAAGAGGTATAGGATTTGTTTTCCAAAAAAAACACAAAAAATTTGAAAAAACGATTAAATCTTTATTTGAGTCGATAGAACGGTCGATATAATTTAATGTTTAAAGATTATTTCATGTAAATGTTGGCCGCGGCTTCGCTTTAGATGGCCCATGCGCAAGGTCCAATTTTGGCACACTCTCTCCAACATATCGGCCGGTATCTCACGAATAAATGCTTCAATATTGGCTTCCAGTGCGTCAATCGTTGCTGGTTTATCCCTGTAGACATTAGACTTAACATGGCACCACAAGAAATAGTCCAACGGCGTTAAATCACACGATATAGGCGGCCAATTGACGGGCCCCAAACGTGAGATAAACTGTTCACCGAACTCGCCTCTCAATAGGGCCATTGTTTCGTGTTCGGTTTGGCATGTGGCACCGTCTTGTTGAAACCACATGTCAGCCAAGTCTAGCTCTTCCATTTTGGGCAAAAAAAGTTTGTTATCATCGCACGGTAGCGCTCGTCATTCAGTTACATTCCGGCCATTGTCGTCTTTGAAGAAGTACGGCCCGATGATGCCACCGGCCCATAATCCACACCAAACAGTGATTTTTTCGGGATGCATTGGTAGCTCTTGCAATGCTTCTGGCTGGTCTTCACTCCAGATGCGGCAATTTTGCTTGTTACCGTACTCATTCAACCAGAAATGAGCTTCGTCGCTGAACACAATTTTTCGATAAAAATGTGGATCTTCCTCCAACTTTGCCAGCGCCCATTCACCAAATTGGAAACGGTGTGGGAGGTCGTGTGGCTTCAATTCTTGCACCAGCTGTATCTTATAAGGTTTTACACCTAAATCCTGTCGCAAAATTTTCCACGTAGTGGAGTAACAGAGGCCCAATTGCTGCGAACGGCGGCGAATCGACATTTCACGGTCATCACTAACACTGGCGGATACAGCCGCAATATTTTCTTCAGTCCTCACTCTACGTCTGCGTGTTGGTGGTTTAATGTCCAATAATGTAAACTGGGTTCGAAATTTAGTCACAAGCTTCCGAATAGCCTCTCAGTAGGCCGACCAAATTGCCCATAAATTGGAAGCAGTGCTCGATGCACTCTCTTAACCGAGCATGAATTTTGATAGTAAAATTCAATAATTTGCAAGCGTTGTTCGTTCGTAAGTCGATTCATGGTTAAATTATAGACCAAACTGAGCAAGTTTGACAATGACACAAGACACGATTCACGCGTCATCTGTCAAAAACAGTGTTGCCAAAAAGATACTAGCAAAAAAATCACCCATTTATATATATATATATATATATATATATATATATATATATATATATATATATATAATAAAGACATTGAAACTGCAATAGAGCTGGTTAAATAAAGATATGAAAAACAATTAATCTTACGATTAATCGTGAAAAAATTGAGTCAATCGAATCATTTAAATATTTGGGCATATACGTAGATAGCAAATTAAAATTTGAAGGGCACTATGAATATATTCTTTGAAAAATATCCAAAAAGTTAAATTACTTTTAGAGAAATTCGCTTAGCCTAAGCGTTTATTCTAAAAAAATTGTGTACAACACTATCATTCTTCCTCATTTGTTATATTGTTCGACTATTTTGTTCAATGCAAACGAAACTATATTTTCAAAATTACAAATATTACAAAATAAACCTATGAGAATAATCTTTAAATGAAATTAAATATACTAGATTAAATGTTATGCTGAAATATCTACAATGGTTAGATATCAAAAATTTCATAACCTACTTATTAGTTTTCATTTTCATATTCAAGTTGAAAAATTATCTTCTACCAAATCTTATCTTCTAAAAAATCAAATTTTTATTGTATTGAATAATGAGTACCATAGTTATTCCACTAGGAGTATAGACTTTCATTTACAAAATTGTAGTAGCAATATAACGAGCAAGTTAGTATTTCAAAAGCGATTGTACGAATTTAATAAATTAAGTAATGATATCAAGATGTATGCCAGTTTGAAAATGTTCAAGGGGAAAATGAAAAAACATTTCATGGAAAACCAGAATTCATACTAGTAAAATTTTGTATAAAAATATGTATTCTAGAAGATATAATATCATTATACGTGGTACCGGTGGAGCTAGTTCGTTCGCAAGATTTGATGGGCTGTACTTTTGAGCTCTCCCGCAGGGGTATTATGTAAAAACCTAAAAAGCGTAAAAGGAACGACAAAATGTCATCTTGCAGATGAGGTAGTATTTAGTATGCAAATAGTTCATTCCACGTTTGCTCGCTATGCTCGCTGTGAGCGTCCATCTAGGAGGAGAATACTACTTCAGAGGAAGGTACTCTGAGGCTTCTGATGGATACACACTTTCCCGGATCCACAGTATGAGCAGAGTTCGGTTGATCCCCACCTGTTGAAGGTGTTTCGAGCATGTGTGGCCACGAGCTTCACACCTAGAAGCTGGCGGCAGGCTAAAGTGGTATTTATTCCTAAACCGGAGCGAGCTAGATATAGGGGCCCGAAGGATTTTCGTCCGATTACCCTTTCATCTTTTGTGCTTAAGACATTGGACAGGATAGGTGATAAGATTATTGAGGGATCACCAGCTAGAGAGGTGTGTCATTCATTCCAATCAGTAGGCATACTAACCTGGGAAATCGACTGATCTGGCCTTACGTAATCTGGTCTTCAGGCTGGAGAAGACTCTAGATCAGCGAGAAGTGGCACTCGTGGCCTTTTTGCACATTGAAGCAGAATTTAATTGCACTACAACTGACTCTATCAGACATGGCTTGTTTAGGCACGGGATCAATAGTAGATTGGGTCATATCTACTCTAGAGGGACGGATAGCAACAGCTAGGCTGAATGACGTAGCTAGGCTTAATGACGTAAGCTGCAGCGTCAGCGTAGCTCGAGGGCGGTGTTCTGTCAGCCCTACTGTGGTGCTTCGTGGTGAACGAACTCCTCGTTATTCTCAGCAGTTCGGGTGTCTACGTGCAAGCCTATGCTGACGACTTAAGCATAGTAGTAAGAGGTCGTTTTTGAAATTATGCAGTGCGCTCTGTGGAATTGTGGTGTAGGGAAGTCGATCTTTCTGTCAATGCTGAAAAGACCGAGCTGATCCTATTCACTAGGAGAAGAAGGATTGACGGGCTTGTCTTGGCGACCTTCTTTGGGACTAGATTAGTTCTATCCCAATCAGTAAAATATCTAGGAATTATCCTGGACTGCTGGATCTCCAACTGTTGGATCTAGTGATCTGCGGTGAAGCGAGAGTAGTCGCACATTGACTGTGGGGTCACGGCAGCTGGGCCTTCTTGAATCCTATCAAGAGTCTTACTGCCATCTTAGTCGAACTGCAAAGGGAGGACCCCCTACTTATAAGCAGGGGTGATCTCGTTACCCCTAAATATCGCTTTAACCGCAAGTTTAATGTGGGGTATCCAACGAGGCAGTAGTGGAACGCCGGTAGCCCGAGAATCTCTCCGTAGTGTGTGGGCAGGTCTGGTACACAGACGGCTCGGTCACCGAAAAGGGCTCTGACGGCGGAGTCTCTGGGCCTAGAACTAGGTGGATACACCACTATTTTCCAGGCGGAAATCTTTGCGATTCTGGCTTGTGTATCCAGCAGTTTGGAGGGGGAGGGCCTAGGAGAAGAATAACGACAGCCAGGGTGCAATGGAGGCTCTGGATTATCTCGCAGCGAGGCATCCGGTATCGTTAATCTAGGTACCGGGGCACGCTGGGATATAGGGAAGAAGACATGGTCCTGAGCAAGCTTTAGGAGTCCCCGCGCAAATAGTACGGAGGAAAATGGAGAAGAGGATTGCAAGACAACACTCAGAAATGGAGAAGTATCTCCAGACATCTCCGTCAGGCACGGGTACTCATTGTAGGGCCCAGCACTAAGGATGGACGTTTCTGATTATATTTGGATAGAGCCCACCTGAGGTTGCTGGTGGGACTGTTGTCTGGCCATAGCACGTTATGAGGGTGGCTGAGGATCCCTTGTGTGGGCGCTGCGGGGTAGAGGAAGAAACCTCGGCGCACGCTGTGTCGCTGTGAAGCTCTACTACAGGCAGACTATACTGGGGTCCATTACTTTGGACCCCAATGCCATACTCAACATCGCCAGAAAGGAAGACTTGAGGTCTAAGCAGTGTAGAGGTGCATAAGGGCCTGTTGTAAGCAGCATATGCGATGGCTCCTTATAGTGGCTGGAAAGCCTCTAATTTCACAATTCATTCATTCATGACATCCTGCTAAGGAAAAGAAATGTTTCCTTCACCAAGTGCTTGATTCTGGAATCATCCCTTCGACAGTAAACAGTGCACATTCACAAAAAATCGATGATAGGGATGACAATCAGCATTTGGGTACCTCTCACATTGTATCTACATTACTGATAAATGAGGTGCATGTTAGCATATTCCTGTATGGTGTCCATGCTGGCACTACACAATCATAAATTAATAACTTAGGGTGACACTGTCTGTCACTCTGTCTATGAAAAAATTTAAATTTGTAGTGATGGGAACTAAAAGATCATCACAGAGTGTAGACTTTTCCGATTGTTTTGATTTGAAAAGTACACAACATAGACTTATTTATATTTCTCTGATAACTATTATGGCCTATCCCTGTTTCTGGCTTGATGTCGACTTCTGGGACATGATACATATATTTTAGTGAACTGTGGTATGGGTTACTAAATGATTCAAACCTCATGAAATGATGTATCAAATATTACTGGCTTTATTTCATTTTAAGGTACCATCATAAAGGTTTGTGGTCCCATTCAAGATCCTTACCTGTCAAGAGTTCATGATCATTAAGTATTTTAGCAAACCCAAAATCTGTAATTTTCACATTCAAACTGTCATCCAGAAGTATATTTTCAGGCTTCAAATCTCTATGTACTACTCCCCTTGAGTGTACATGTTGTACACCCTCAAATATTTGCCTCATTATATATCTTGTCTTCTTCTCAGACAATGTTACCACTGAGGTAAGATAGTCAAATAATTCTCCATGCTTACAAAGTTCAAAGACCAGGAAAATAAAGGTGGGCGATTCAAATACATCTTGGAGTTCAACTGAAACAAATAAGTGAGACTCAACCAGTAGTAAAAACAAGCACATTTTTAAAAATTATAAACAACCCACTGCAACAACTGAACAGGGTGAAGATTTAATTCTGGTATCAATATGAATCTAAGAATACCTCAAATCTTTAACTCTTTATATGATTTTAATATTGCCAGTGACAGTTGTACTATCAAAACTAGTCCAACAACACATGTCAAAATCCATCTTATACATGTATAAAGGTTTACAGATTCATCCAAAGGTGTCAGGCTTTTGTAAGCTAGTAGTAATGTGTTCTGTAACTGTGAAGCAAGATATTAAAATTGGATATTTGGGTAAATTGGGAGTAACATATCTAATATATGCTAACCAATGGACCATGTCATATATATTTTTATTCATATCCAAGTTGTGATACTGAACACAAAACCTCAATGGTTGTAGAACATACACTGTTGAAGAATTCTAAACTTAAAGATGATGCAGCAGCATTTATATGTTCATTTGAAAAATCTTATTGAATCTGCAAATCTTATCATGATTAGGTAGCAGCAGTGACGGAGTTGTAGACGTTCTGGGTCTACCAATCAGCCGCGGTACGCTGCTCGGGTTCGAATCCCGTCCCACGGAATGTTTTCTCTTTGCTATGGATGTTGTGATTGTCCATAGGTGGTAGAAGGTCTCTGACTGTCGAACGTGGAGATACCACCCGGCGGATCTCTAAGGCGGAGCCAGAAACTGTGCATGTTGCATGCACACGTGTTCCCTCGCTAGAGTCTCTGTGGCCTCTCCCCATTTCTCCTGTCTTCCCCCTCCCCTATAGCCCCATGCTACCCATGAGTGTTTATGCCTGAGGCCTTTGTAGTGGTTTAAGTATAAAAAAATGATGCTAATTACTGCAACAGCGTTCTTATAGATCACTATAGTTATCAATGGACATAAAATTGCAGTGAAGCATCAAGACAAAAATAAAGATAAACATCTATGGAGCACCTAATGATCTCATTATATAGGGTGATTCAAAAAACAATAACAATCTTCTTCAAGCTGAAACTACATCCAAAAATTAAAATGAACATTCAAATAATGCCATGAGTGAGACAGGATTACTCTCCTAAGGCACTACCTACAATTCCCAAAGTCAAACTTCACTAACTTTTACAAATTTTCAAAGAACAACAGGTTGAAGTTTATCATGCAGATTTTTTTCTGTAAAAGTTCTGTGACAAACATTTCTAAAAAGAGGCAGTTCATGCAAAATTGATTAGTTATTCAAAAATGATATGTTTCAATAGTCAATGGCATAAAAAATATTTTTTTGTGTATTAACTATGCTGTTAATACATGCACAAAATTTAGGGTAACTATATTAATCTATTCCAAAGATTTTGAGTCCAAAATAATAACTTTAAAACCCTGTATCTTGGTAAAGAGGCATTGTGAGACCTATGTTTATATGAACTATTTGCGATATTTTTTTTATCTACTTGAATCCCTAGAAATATGACTAATATTTTCTGAAACAACCTGTATCAGCTATAAAATCTTCAGCATTACTTCAAAAATGATTATAACTGTTATTATTATTAAACATAACACAAAAAATGACTTTAAGCTATACCTTGATGATGAAACAAACTTTTCATCTTGTGTATTACTACTTGAAGTTAATATGTAGACTTTATTCTAAGAGATATAAAGGCAATATATAGATATATTAGGATTTTCTAGATTTTGATTTTAATAAATTATTGTATCTTACAATTTCACAGATATAACATATACAGAATCAAGAGCAAGAACAAAGTAAGTTATTTCTGGAGTTATCCACCAGTTTAAAAATGGATGTTTATGGAATGAAAATAACATTTATGGTTTTTATACTTCTTTGACTGACTTTTATTAATGTTCAGTAAGCATGTACTTGTTTATGTTCCTTAAGTCTATGATTTACAGTTATAACAAAAAAAAGTGCCTTACTTATATATGGATGTCCAGCAACATGCCTCAAAATATGTACTTCCTGTTTGGTAGCCTCTAATATTGACCCATCATTTACACCTTCACTACTCAAATCTATAATTTTTGCCGCATACTCCCTGCCTGTTTCTTTTTCGATACATCGTCTAACAGTAGATGAAATTCCCCTGTAAATGGATTAGATTACAAAAAGAAAAGGCTATGATCCAAGTTGCAACCTTCCGAGAACTTCCTTAGGCTCATATTTTGCGTAAAATTCTTTAGCTGCATCTTTGTCTGGTAGTTTGTCGTATTCTTCCTCTTTAGCCATAGTTTTTATTCTGTTCTTTGAAAAATAAATACCTAAAAATAACTACTATACAACAGAAAGTTATTTGGAGGTTAACTATTTTGAATCGATACAAATGATAGTTGATAAAATGATTGCATTGGCTATGACGATATCCTGTTTATTTAATAAAACAATGATCGAATACAATGCGACCTAATCAATCAATTAAAATGCCCACTTTAAAAAACTGTTTCAAGAAATAAGAAATCTTTATAACTTTAACCTTCAAATCTTCAAAATTTATATGACAGCAGGACACACGATGTGGCGAATGCCTTACAACGTTGGACACATGGCCATTCGCCACATCGTGTGGGAGAGCGCTGACGGATTGCATGTGTCCAGCGTTCGCCACATGGCACGTTCGGAACGGCTCTTGTCGGTAAATTTGACCCGCGTCAAAGGTCATTACAACGTTGGAAGCTGGAAGCTTGGTTCGCTACGCTCCCACGCGAGACGTCATTGCTGTGATTGTGGTGAAGTAGTGGTATGTGGGTAGTATTTTGATTTGAATACCTACCTATTCATAATAATGTATGTTCAGTAACTAACTTTTGAGGAGAATGAATTAAATTAGTATACATACAAAGCATAGGCTGCCATGACCACGCTTTTTTCATACTGCTAATATTTTGTACGTTTCGCAATTGAGTTATGGCTGGTCTAAGTATATGTATTTAGTAAATTATAAATTATCAAGTGCTTACAGTTGTTTCATTATAATGCAAGACTAGTGGAGACATATATATTGACTTACATTTTATAACTAACGAAAATGATTTAAATAAATTATAACTCTATTACTACTATGAAAGTGACGAAAAAGCTGTACAGTTTTTGAAAATCGATACAGTGGCGGCGGAGTTATCGTCGTAAAACAAACAAAAAAAAAATGTCAAACCTCGTTTTCCGACATTTCTGAGGCTTCCAACAGACTTAAGTTTTGGTCGTTGAAGACAGATCTGAAATTATTTTTCGACGCTCGAAAAAATTGTTTCATCGTTCATTTTGTATAATTTTTCCTTCAGGTGTTAAGATTCAATCGCGACACTGACACCGATGATAGACTTTGGCGCCACCATGCGTCGAACGTCCGAGACTAAAAAGTTCATCTCATCTTGTAGGAGACACTTGCCAGTTGTGGGTTGTCGAACGTTGTAAACAACGTTGGATGGATCGTGTGGGACCCGCATTAGCTGATGTCAGCTCCAGTGTTAAACATGACAGCACCCACAAACCGACAACTACTAAATCAAATTCAAGCGGATAACCAAATCGAAATGGTATTTACCACTTTGGGTTGGTATTTACCAATCCGTTCAAGCGAGTGTAGTTATCAGTTTGGTAATAAGATCCGTGACATCACGAATCAGCTGTTATATGTCATAGTTATCACCGCAAAATTGTGGTATTTACCCAACTCAAGAGTAGTTTTATATTTCTGGTTATTATTTGAAATGTGACAAGTTAGAATTTTGCCGGGTATTGGATATTAATCAAATTCAAGCGGATAACCAAATCGAAATGGTATTTACCATTTTGGGTTGGTATTTACCAATCCGTTCAAGCGAGTGTAGTTATCAGTTTGGTTATAAGATCCGTGACGTCACGAATCAGCTGTTATATGTCATAGTTATCACCGCAAAATTGTGGTATTTACCCAACTCAAGAGTAGTTTTATATTACTGGTTATTATTTGAAATGTGACAAGTTAGAATTTTGCCGGGTATTGAAATTGGATATTGTTATTGTACTTCAGCTTCATTTTTGAGAAAAATGATACAGGCTGACTTCAGTTTTACCATAAAGTGGAGCACCTTATTAGTTATACTCATTACGGTTGTTGGGGACACTTTAAATGTAGTTCCTATGCTTAACAAAGTATCCTGTGCAGCCATATACCACAAGAATATTAAAATATGGCCATATAAACTGACTAGATGATATCCACCTGTATACGGTTTTGCTAATTTCTTTTTTCATCATTTCTGCTGAATCAATAAATGTTTTCTTTGACATGCGGAAAAAATTAGAGAATTGAAAGTTATCATAGCTACAAAGCCATGGTTCCATCATTAAAAAAAAAATCTGAAAAAAACATTTCTCCCATGAATATTATGAAAGGTTTCTTATTTAAACTTTCCATATACAGTTGTAGACGAAAAAGCACCGATTATTAGGTGATAAAATAATCAGAGATTATATATGCGCTTTTCTAAAATAAACAACTTGCAACAAAACCGCGGTTAAAACGCGTTCAAGCGATTCGTGTAACTGACGTCATCAACCCGTGTGTCATCTTGAACCATATTATAACCGCGGCACATAACACTGAAATTTTGGTTATTCGCTTGGATTTGATTCTAGAGAAGGAAAAAGACAGATCTATGGCACTGACGTTGTGACGTGACGTTTGTCTTGTCCATTGAGTTTGTCAACATGGCTACCGCAATAATGAATACGGTATTGCGAAAAACCATCGAATTTCTACCATCAAAAGCATTTACCAAGAATGCGGTAGCTCTAATATACACTAGGTAAACTACTGCTTACTATTCTGTCAGTCAAAACTTCAAATCTTTGCAAAGTTATATTATGTAACAAATATGGTTATGTATGCCTGAACTCTTAACAGACTCTTTATCAATTTTAGCAAGCATTTGGATGCCAAATGGTCCCCAGACGCAGAATGGTTCGAACAGTTCAAAGGACCTGTTATGTACCCCAATGAAATCACCAAAAACTGGGCCATGCAGCCCTGGAATGCGACCAAAGTCCCAACTGAAAAATCTGTTAAGAATGTCACTTTAAATTTTGGCCCCCAACACCCTGCTGCTCACGGTGTACTGCGACTTGTCTTGGAGTTAGATGGAGAAGTAAGCATATATTAAAGGGGCAGTCTACAAGTATAAAAGGACAAACCATCAGGTTATTGATTTATGCAAAATGCATTTACTTTCCACATTTATCAATGATAGATGAAAATTAAAAAAAATCTTTTATCATTTTGAAAAACCTCACGTCCCTAATTTAAAAATTTGGTACCAGAACTGTTCTTAAAAAGATTTTAGTCTGTAGTAAGGATACATGATGTATTTAAAGCTGATATACATTTTTAATACCTTAGTGCCAAATATTGCAAACTTTTTTCTGCTCCCTGCCTTCTTTAACACATGCACCTCTGGCATCTCTACTAATAAGAAGCCTTGTGTGCCACATGTATTTTCAAAAGTAATTTCAACAAATCTTTTATGAAGTAGTTAAGGTTGTCTGTTTAGAAGTTTAATGCACCTTAAAGACAAAATCGTCATACAGATGAAAAGAATACGCTACGCGCATTTCACTTTGAATTGTGATTTTAGTTTTTTATTGCAACGTCAATAACATTTGTGAAAGGAATGCACAATTGTACACAACTTCATACAACCTAAAGAATGGATCCAAATTTAAAAGAAGAACTGTAAAAGAGGGGCTGGAGTAGCTCAGTTAGGGGCCGAAGTAGCTCGGTTAGCACACTTACCTTACAAAAAGAGGAGATAATAAAATAATCCTTGGCAGTGAACAGGTTCCCAATAAAAAAGCAACAGAGATAAAAGTAGGTGCAAAAAGGTGTGATACTGATGAAATTGTAAACCTGCATGAAACAAATCTACAAGGTGATAGCACAAAGTCAGATAACAAAAATGATGTAGACGCAATATTCAAACCAAATTTCTCAAACCCCACCTAAAGTAAGCCAAGAATACCATAGAAGCCACATAGACGTTCTTACAGAACACCACCCTAACTTTGAAAAAGGTAAAAGACCCAGATCGCAATCTAGACCAGGGGGAAAAAATGTTAGTAAAAGGCTGTGTCATGAAGTGAAAAACTGTATGTTGGAAGAATTAATTCAAAACTTTTTTGATGAAATTGATACCATAAGCAGGTGCATCGATAGAGACATGACGCTAACTCCTTTCAACACACAGGAGAAAACATGCATCCTACAAGCCACTATGAATATACAAAAATTACTGACACAAGTTGTGTACAAAGTCAGTCCGCTAGAAAAAGAGAATGTAGTGTTTGCGGCTAGAATAGAAAACACCCAGCCAAAGTATACACACATGGAGGCTAGTAGAAGCCTATTGAACATGCAAGGAAATCAAGAGACTAGTAGAACTGAAATAGTACAACCAAGAAGTTATGCCAGTATTGTAGGTGAAAGACAGTAAGTACAACCAAAGAATCAATAAGCAAAGGGACAGAAATCGATGATGCCATCAGAAAATCGGAAACTTGAGTCAATCATAAGAGTGGATAAACCGGAAAATCCTAAGGTGGTCGTAAGTAGACTTGAACAAGAGTTGACACAAAAGGATACTGAAGGAGGCTTCAAAAATATTAAGCAATTGCAATTCAGGGGCAGTAATAGTAGAAAGCCGCACTGAAATCCAACAACAGAAACTGAAAGATATATTGAAAGATAAGAAAAAAACATCAGATGCAATCGATCCTATGTTCATGATCACAGGAATTGAAAAAGGATACGAGGCTAAAGAATTCATAGATGAGCTCTTAAGGTTGAATAATGAAAATAAAGCTGAATTAATCTATAGTGTCACAGATAAAGTCAAGGTTGTTACAAAGAAGAACAGCCATAATCCACATAAAGAAAACTGGATTTTACAAGCACTGCCCGAAATTGCTAAGTGGTCAGATAAACTTTGATTTGGTAAGGGTCGATGTTAAAGAACACATTAATTTGGAAATCTGTTTAAAATGCTCAAATTTAGGACACATTACTAAGTACTGCAAACAGCAGATATGTTGCTATATATGTTCCTTTAACCTTGAAGAGACCAGCTGTCAGGAACATGATCTTAAATGAGCAAATTGCTGAAAAATAAAATGTAGTAACCTTAATCACTCTGCCCGTGACCCAAATTGTCCAGTCTACACATCCAGAATTAGGAGGTTTAGAAACAAGATCAATTACAGCCAGGATTTTCAAACATAAACAGGGAATGAATTGATGCTGATGAGTCTGACACCTATGACTCTTTCAAGCAAATGGAGGAATACAACAGAATAGCTCTACTGCATCAAAATGTCCAGTTGCTTGGAAACTCAATAAATGAGGTAAAGCAGATGATAGCAAAAAATAATAGTGACTGTAAATTCATTTGCATCATTGAACACTGGAAGAGTCAAGACCAAATTATCAACTATGGAATTGGAACTTCAAGTTAGCATCGTGTTTTTGCAGAAAACAAGGGAAGCATGGTGGGAGTGCAGTTTAGTGAGGCTGGGAAAGGTCAGATGTAAAATCATTATCTGTGGAAGGTTCCCTGGAGTGTGCTGCAGTAAAATGTTTCTTATATGGGTTGAATTTCATAATGCTGTCAATATATAGACCACTGTCTGGTAATATCCATAATTTTTCTCAGGAAAGTCTGAACAAACAACTCTTATGTTCACTTTTAAATTCATATGATTTAATTTACATCATACTATATTCCAATACACATGCATAAGATCCACCAGTGGACCTTGTATTGACAATATTTTCACCAATACCTCAACTTATGTATCTAATGTCATTAATCTCAGATCACACTGCTCAAACAATAACAATGATGGTTAATATGCACAATCTTGGTAAAGTTATACAGAAATGGATATTCAGTTCAGAAAATAAAGATTTTTTTTAACTAGCCTCAGATCTGTAAACTGTCAAAAATTACTTCAAATTCCTCAAAATGATGTAAACAAACAGTGAATTATTTTAGTAGTATTCCATTTTTCATCTAGAATATGCTACTGCTCTAGAACTAGCCGAACTGGGCAAAAGACTTAAAAATAAAATGAGTAGTGGTGATGATGGCATTCCAGCTAGTATTTTAAAATATTGCTTAGAAGTGATTCTGGAACCTTTGGTTCACATAATAAACAACTCATTTAAGTACAGTATTTTCCCTGAATAACTTAAATTAGCTATAATTCTACCTATATATAAAAAAGCAGATTCTAGTGACTTTCTAAATTATAGGCCAATAAGCTTATTTTCTTGATTTGCAAAGCTTTTTGAGTTGGTGATGTATTCAAGAATTATGAATCATATGATATGTAACAACTTAATTGCACAGTCACAACATGGGTTTGTAAAAGGGAAATCCATCAACACGGCGATCTATCATAGAATGCCTTGAAAATAATATGATATCACTGGGTCTGTTTTTTGATCTCTCCAAAGCTTATGATTGTGTGGATCATTCTCTTCTATTGAATAAACTTGAGGCATATGGGATAAGGGGAAGTGCTTGCAACTGGATTAAGTCTTATCTGACAGATTGTAAGCAAAGAGTTTTCATTACAAAGAATGAAATATCAGCCGTTTCATCACAGTTAACGGTAGAAAGAGGTATTCCACAAGGTAGCGTCTTAGGACCTCTCCTCTTTTTGATTTTTGTGAACGATCTGTGTGCTAGTATTACAAGCCCAAATAATGTATGCAGGATCCTATACGCTAATGACACTAGTGTACTAGTCTCTGGCCAAGATTTCAACCATTTAGCTGAAAGCCTCTGCGAGAAAGCGTTTTTGTGGTTTGCTCGTAATGGATTATCTCTGAATACCTCAAAAACACAGGCGATTGTTTTTATGTTAAGAAAAAAAATCAAAGCTACAAACATCACCTTGGCAGAAAGAATAGAAGTCTCTCTGACAGACTGTGGAAAATTCTTGCGAGTTCATATTGGCCAAGCACTTTCCTGGGCTAAACATATAGAACATCTAGAAATAAGGTTAAACAACGCATGTTATAGTATTAGAGTACTAAGTAAGTACCTAGACCTCAAGACTTAAAAATGGTATATTACGCGAATTGGAGTCCATTGTACGTTTTAGAATAATTTTTTTCAGACATAGTAGCCATACCAATAGGATCTTTCTAGTGCAGAAGCGAGTGCATCCTAAAAATTTCAAATAGAGAGACTTGCAGAGGAAAATTTAAGAGTAATAAAATTTTAACTGAAGTCGCAATATATATTTAAGAGGTTCCAATTTTTCTTCAAAATTTTGTGTATAGAGTCCATCATCTCACGGTTACCGAAAAAAATGTCCATTACAGCTGCACTGAAATATATAATAAGTTACCACAAGAAATTAAAAGGTTGGCAGATATAAAAGAATATATAAAAAGAGTATTTATCAATTATTAATGCACTTAGAACCATATGACCTTTAAGAATATTTTGAAAAGTAAAATCTCTATTATGTTATATTTTTAGCCTCTTTGTTTTTTCTGTCTCAATGACACTGTGACGGATATTTCACCTAACAGTGTGTAATACATAAATCATGCACTGTTATTTTGAAATAAAGATTTATTATTATTATTTGAAATACAAAAATGTAACATTTTTGCAAACAAAATTTGCATAAAACACAAGAATACAAATAATAAACACAAGTGAAACCTGTATTACTAAAACAAGTTACTTTCATCTAATTCCTCACAAAAAATAATAGACAAAAGTGGGAACGGTATTTCTGAAAATTGTTACTTTACATGAAAATTCCTGACGTTTACCTTGAATTGTATTTTTTTTATTAAAAATCACAAACATTACATGAGAACTGCTTTTGTAAATAAATACACAAAAACATTTTCCACCATCAAAACACATAATTGTTCACAATCAACTACAGCATGGTAGATAACTAAGCTACTATTTACGTTTGACCCATAATGGAGTTTCAGAGAATGCAGAGCTAATGAGCTTTGGAGGAGGGATCTAGCTCAGAGCTTTTTCCATTATACATTTACATCTTTTTAGGTAGTAAAACGGGCAGATCCTCACATTGGTCTATTGCATAGAGGCACTGAGAAGCTAATTGAATACAAAACTTATACCCAAGCATTGCCATATTTTGATCGTCTTGATTATGTCTCTATGATGTGTAATGAACAGTGCTACAGCTTAGCTATTGAAAAACTATTAAACATTGATGTACCACTCAGGGCAAAGTACATTAGAGGTATGTACAGCAGTCAAATATCTTCGTTGTCAACTGCATATTGCAGTTAGCTATTTCTGTCAGTTACAAGTGGTAATTAACGGTAACTGCCAGTTACATAAGGAAATTAGCTATAATTGTCAGCTAAAAGCTGCAGTTAGCTATCACTGCAACTAACAATTATAAGTATTTGTAAATACAATTAATTACTTCATTATATTTTTCATTGATTAGAAATGTCATTTTAGTGCTTAAATATTTTATTCTGATTCATTAAAAAATTTCATTTTCTGCAACAGTCTTATTTGCTGAAATCACCAGAATCCTAAACCATATCATGGCTATTGGATGCCATGCTTTGGATGTTGGTGCCCTGACTCCATTTTTCTGGCTGTTTGAAGAACGTGAAAAGATGTTTGAATTCTACGAAAGAGTCTCTGGAGCTCGTATGCATGCTGCTTATGTTAGACCAGGTGGTGTTTCGCAGGTAGAGGATTTTAAAATTAAGATTATTTTCATAGTCGGTAATTTCAAATCTCTGAAAAAAATTGTTAGAATACCTACCTTATAAAATGCCGGCTTCATATTTTAACTGTAGCACCAATATTAATTTTTGAATGTAAAATAATTATTAAAATAAGACAGCACAAAGTGTCATGTATTACCAGAATCAACCACTGAGAGAGTGGAACTGTATACCAGTTTTCATTGTCAGCCAGGTCAGCACTATAGCCGCTAGATGCCCTCGATTCCCGATGTATAATATATGTTATAGTCTAATTGCCAATAAACAAACTATTATGCGTCTATCGACGAGAGAGACTAAACCAAAACAGTGATCATCGCGTGATCAGCACAGTGATATATTTCAAGAAGGGGAGTATAACTGTTATTGGGCAGAATCGCTTGAACCCTTACTATAGAGCCAATGCAAAACCAAGGGTGGAGTGGGAGACGACACGATGATGGCAGCCCCGCCGGCCGGCCGGCGTCTGATCACGTGAAGTATGCGTGGATATGTTTTGTTTAGTCTCTTTCTTCGATAAACGGATAATAGTAATATAGATACGTAAGCACCAGAATCGACGGCATCTTGCGGCCACAGTGATGACACAGCTGACAAAACAAACCCTGATATAGTTCTAACAGTTTGCTGTTTCACTTTCGCAGTGGTTGGTTCTGGTAATGGATGGCACTTTGTGCCGGCTTATTTTGAGACTTTGTACTGTGGATAGAGGATAGTCACTCAATTCTCATTCATTGTCCTACCTGAGACTATGATGAGGAGTTGCTGAATAGCACGAAACTGCTGTCCATGATTGGCCGTCTGTAGTCGGCCGAACGAAAGCTGTATTACTAGTTTGGAAATACATCAATAATTTGTATAATATTCATAGGATTTGCCACTGGGGCTCCTAGATGACATTTATGAATGGGCATCCAAGTTTAATGAAAGGTTAGACGAAGTTGAAGATCTTTTGACCAATAACAGGATATGGGTACAGAGAACAACTGATATTGGTATTATATCAGCAGAAGATGCGTTAAACTATGGATTTAGGTAATTTATGCCTCTTTGTCAACTTTTTATTGATAATATTTTGTTTTCAACTCTTGGGATTTGATAGATTGGGCTAAAGGTCCTGTGTCCTGCCACATGTTAAAACTGGTTTGGTTTCAACAGGAATACCATAGGGCTTCTAAGATAATATTAACTGTCTAAACCACCATATATGAGGCTCTTGAATATTCACTGAACGACTGATAGTTTCGTGCAAATTTCTGTGTCAGTGTTGTATGATCAAAGTTGTTTTATACAGTGTAAATGAGAAATCAATATAACTTTCTGCAATCTAACCTAGATCCTGCAGTGACACTGAAGGAACGGTAGTGTCGTGCAAAATTCTGTGTCTAAGTTGAAGAACCAAAGCTGGGAACACATTGTTTCACAGACACTGTAAATGAGAAGTGACAATAGACCCAAACGACTCGTATTGATAGCCTTTCGAGGCGTTACATCTAGTTTCTTTTAATTTTTTTAAATCTAATCTTTATTCAACCGTCTATAGAAAACAAAGTTCTCTAATCTGTGTTTAGAACAATTTCATCAAGGACAACTAACATAATATTTAAAGTGTGAATTTTAATAACAACAAATGCAAATAACTTTTGAATAGTTATACAAAATGTCTGAATAAATTTACATTCTTAACGCATGTGGTAGATTTCTATATGTTTTTACTGCATTAGTGACACGGATATTTAATCCTATATTGGTTCTAGTAGAAATCTGGTACAAATTATTTCGTGATCTTGTTTATTGTCATGTCATCATGTGTGATCAACATTTTTGTATTAGACTTTTGTTGGTTATTAAACATTTTTTCCAATTCCGTCAGTTTATCAAGTTTAATAACATGCCATTCTGTGTACATATTATCCGTGTTGACACGTCAGTCATAGTTGAACAAGATTCTTATTATTCTATTTTGCTAAACTTGTGCTTTATGACTTTCAGCTTTACCACACACTGCCCAAATAGGTATTATATATCTACAGTAAGCCATGAATTTTTTCAATGTTTATAGTCGAGTGGTCTCTGCTTTAGTAAAAAGCAACTATCTTCGACGTTTAATCCAAAAAAATCTCTTATAACTAGACCAATTCAAATTCGCATCTACATAGTCGTGCCATAAGTTCTGTCCCATGATAATCTCATGATAAAAATGAAACAAGATAAGATATATTTATATGAAAGATATTATTTATTCGACAACATTTTTAGAATTCATAATCAAACAGTTTTATTCAAAATGTCCCCCCTTGGCCTTCACACACTGCTTCAATCTCGCGGGCCACTCATCTATCACTGCACGCACAGCTTCCAAAGGAATAGCTGCCGCTGATCGGATCAAATCCGCTTTCAGGGACTCGATATTACGGTGGGCTTTGGAGCAGGCCAACTGCTCTAGCAGGTCCCACAACTTGTAGTCTAAAGGATTGAGGTCCGGACTCCCTGAGGGCCAATCTTCCGCAGCAATGAACTCTGGCACATTGCTTTCCAGCCAGCGCTGCGTACTCTTAGCCTTGTGAGCGGGGGCGGAATCCTGCTGGTAGACCCAGTGTTGGTTGGCAAACAATGTACCACTTAAAGGCTTGACGATAGGATCCAGTATGTCGCTCTGATAGTTTGCCGCTTTTGTTTTCACGCCCTGTTTACAGAAATGGAGCTGAGTGACCCCTTCGTAAGACACCCCCCACCAAACCATGACTGACGCAGGGTGGTGGCCTCTCTCAACTCTCGGAATGATCTCCGAAGCTTCCTGTGAACTCCTTGCATACACTTTGTCATTTTGTCGGTTGAATTTTTCTTCTATGGTGAAGATTTTCTCATCCGTGAACAAAATCTTTCGGAATCCCCCAGCTGCGTACCTCTCCAAGAGCTTCTTGGATCTTGTCGCCCTGATGTGTCGCAAGGTGGCCGTAAGTCGCTGGCCCGTACGTCTCCGGTAAGCCCCTAGCCCTAGGTCTTGTTTAATGATGCGCGACATCGTCCGGACAGGAATCTTCATTTCCCTGGATAGGATCTTCTGCTTCCGGAGTGGATTCCTTTGAATCCTGGCTTTTACGGCTTTGATGGCTGCTGGAGTCCTTACTTGACGAGGTCTTCCGCTTCTTGGCCTGTCATCAACAGAGGACGTCTCATTGTACCGCTGAATGGTCCTAGACACAAATTTACGCGATATTTGAAGGCCGCGTAAGAGTTCAAAAATCTGACTAGCACTGTGATTACACTTATGTAAAGCTATCACTGCAATACGGTTCTCTGCCTTGCCCCACTCCATCGTTATGCTTCGAGAGATCAATACAAACTGAGGTATATGTAATTACCCGAAAAGCGCTTAATCAACAGGTCTACACTTGTTTGAAAACGAGGGACAGAACTTATGGCATGACTACGTATAATAATTAATCCCAGGTATTGGAAGCATGACACACTTTCTATATTGACGTTATTTATTAAGAACATATCTAGATTAACTTCATCATGCAGGGCCTGCTCATTGAAAAGAACTGTCATCAGCAAAAATAAAATATCTTGCATTAAGATTAGCACTCTTAGATTGAGAACATATAGATAGTATAATAGTGGTCCAAGAATGACCCCTGGGATACATCATAGTCATTAGGTAACTACTCTATTTGTTTCACCAGTTTTCACATATTGTTCCCTGTTAAGTAAATAAGTTTTAATCATATCATATATTGAACATTGTACCCTGAATCCCATATTTTGTAACTTAGTAATATATACTGATATCTACCACATCAAATGTATAATAAAATATATAATAATATAAACACCACTATAACCACTTTTTTTTTCAAACAGAGCACTTGCAATATAATTTACAAAATCAACTGCAACTGTAAACATACTACTATTTTTAAAGAACCCATACTGTTAACTGCCAGTTAATGTATTTTGATTTATAAATATTCTTTTCTTAAAGACTTTTTCAACAATTTTAGATATAACACTGATCACAGATATTGGTCTATGATTATTCATAGAGTTTTTTTATCATCTGATTTATAAATTGAAGTAATTTTACTGATTTTAAATTTTCCTCCAAAATGCATTAATGTTGTTCTTTTCAGTGGAGTAATGCTGCGAGGTTCCGGAATAAAATGGGACTTGCGTAAAACACAGCCATACGACTCTTACGAATTGTTCGAGTTTGATGTCCCAATTGGTACCAAGGGCGATTGTTATGATCGGTACCTCTGCAGATTGGAGGAGATGAGACAGTCATTGAGGATCATCGATCAGTGTCTCAACAAGATGCCACCAGGCGAAATTAAGACAGATGATGCTAAGTTGACTACACCCTCTAGACATGAGATGAAGGTAATATTCCTTATTTGTGAGCTGTATATAAAAATAACTTTCTTCTTTCCTTAGACGTCGATGGAGGCTTTAATCCACCACTTCAAACTCTTCACCCAAGGATATCAAGTGCCTCCAGGTTCCACTTATACAGCTATTGAAGCTCCTAAGGGCGAATTTGGAGTCTATTTGGTGTCTGATGGAAGTTCCAAGCCATACAGATGCAAGATTAAGGCCCCTGGATTCGCACATTTGGCCGGGCTAGAGAAAGTTGGAAAGAATCATATGTTGGCCGATATTGTGGCTATCATAGGAACACTCGATGTTGTATTTGGAGAAATCGATCGATAAACGGAGGTACATATTAGGTTTATACTACGTAATAATTATAAGTGAAAACAGTTTTTTTTGTTGTTAATTTATCGAAAGTGTAAATATACTATTATACCAAATTTTTGATCTTTGCTTTTTTTCCTTAGCTATAAACCATAAACCACATTCATAAAATCAAAAATAAGTTATTGTGCACATGGGTCAGGGGAGAGCGCCGTAGCGATACTATGTAAAAAATGTTTAAAGTGAAATTAAAAAATCACCTTATGAGTATTCAAAATGCATAGTAATGTATTTTTAATAAACAAGAATGTAAAATTGATTCAAAAATGTGTAAACGAATAATTATACAAAACTGATACGTAGCTTTAATGCTAAATCAATTTTCAACAACAACCTGTATAATGTCAAAAAAACGATAAAATTTCAAGTTTCTGACTGTACCATAACTATCTAAAACTAATAAATCAATATTCACCTGAACATCACTCAACCACCGGTAGTCGGATCATCAGTGGCGGGATAAGAATTTTTAATGTGGGTGGACTTGATTTCTATCTTTAATAAAAAAGGAAATGCTTTGAAAAACGTTATAGAACAGAAATTTGGAGATTACCTTTGTCAGTTTTTTTTCTGATGATCCATCATCGTCGCTTCCACTTCCATCTGAAAGTAAAAAGCTGTCGCTATCGCTTTCTTCGCCAAGATTGACGATAACTGGCTCTATGATGGTATCGATGTTGTGGTCAAGCTGCCACATTTTTGTTTCTTCCTTCGCAACGTGAGTAAAAAATTCCAAACTAAAGTAAATTTAAACAAAATAAGCTTTACCTATAATTTTTAAAAAAGGATTACCTATCTGGCAACACCGCATTTATTTCTGACCAAATAAGAACAGCACGTGTTTAGGCGTCTTGGTAACCACCGATTCGATTGTCTGAATCTGAGTGGCTAATTCTGAGTTTGCAAAATGATACAACACACCATATTTCCTTCTGTCAATTCAAAGGATACTCCTACTGAGATAGCTGAGACGCCTACTTTTCCAAAGAAGAGTTTAACTCACGTACATTGTTGTTGATTTAGCACAGAATATTGAGGCATAACAAAAGAGCGTATCAAAATTAGAAAAATGATCACAAAATGTTCAAATTTATTACAACGTTTACAAAACGTATTAGTAATGTAGCAGTTTAAATCTACCAGATGGATAAGAATTTAACACAAGATACTAATTAACTTTATGGTGTAAGAATTCATTAAAATCAGAAAATAGAACAGAAAACTCGCTAGATATAAACATTATTAAAAGTTACACTAAGTGCTCAAAATGACCAACACAAGCGCTAATACAGGCCCTGCATCTTCTTATAAATGACTGTTTGATTTTGCGCGTGTATGCGGCTTCGCTGATTTCTCTTGCAGCTGTTTGTATCCGCGCACGTAGCTCTTCCACTGAAGTAATGGGCTTCTTGTAAACCTTCTCCTCAAGACACCCCCAGTAAAGAAAGTCGAAAGGGTGGAGGTCTGGTGACCTTGCTCCTAAGCGCCAGATCCATCTCCGGGGATATATTTCGTTGAGTTACTCTCGCACATTTTGGGTATAATGCGCAGGGCAACCATCGTGCTGCAGCCACTTTCTCATTCTTTGCTCTAGTGGAACATTTTCAAGTAATGCCGAGGGATTACTCAAAAAACTTAAGTAGCTCTCTGCAGTCAACGTCGGTGGTAATTCAAATGGCCCTATAATTTGTGCGTTTAAAATCTCAGCCCATTATTTTAAATTGATATTGGGATCTAGTTTCTCTTATTATTCTCTGATAAGGCTGTAGCTGTTCACGTTTCAACATTCTGTGTACTGTCCTTGTAGAGATGCCTGTTCGTCGCTGACGTTGTTGGATCAGCGGCAATCTCCTCCGACACGGTTTCTTCATCATGTAGCGATGATCTCCCAGAGCTAATACCGCCGACTCTATAATCGGGATGGCGTGCGTTAGGGTACCTTTCCCGATAAAGTGTTGCGGCTTGATTGGCATTACCACCAGACTAACCACAAATGAAATGCTTTTGAGCATACTCCCTGGGGCTGTACTGAGACTTTTCGGTTCACAAAATTGGGCTATTCACAAGATGGAAGATCTAAATCACTATACAAAACCACTGCGTGTGGTGAGGCTATTATTATAGTTATTATTTAAGTAGACATTGTATTTGAAATAGGAGTATTAGCTAACCTTAATAGAAGTATGCTTTGAATTGACAGCAGGAAATACGATGAATTGTATCATTTTGCAATCTCAATTAATTAGGCAAATTATTCACGTCTTATTTCACTAGGTTACCACAAAGTTGTTGACATCACTCGTGGTCAAACTGAAGACAAAAAAAATCGTTTTTTTATTTGGCTTATAACGATTTTTTAAAAAAGAAATTAAACCTGTAGCACGAAAATGGCGTTTTATATTTTATGACACATGTATCTAAGAATATTTAAAAAGACTGGGAAAAACCCTTCATGTGTTATCACGAGATTAAAAACAGTGAGTCTAGGTGCCCTTTTCCTCCAAATTTGAAAAACTTGAAAACCGTGCAACTTTTACTAGACACAATTTTCAAATACACTGTTTACGCCACACGCTGTATATTGTATAAGAATCGAATTAAAACAATCTATCAGTCGTTTTGTGGACGCCATGCCATGTTTTGGACTACATCTCTTATTTATATCTCTAATTTATTCGCCTTGTCTGTCTTCCCTTGATATAACTGCGATTTGCTTATACATTCTGAAAAAATAGCTAACTACCACTTGGGCAGCCTTTACTACTTTCTACTCATCTCATTAATGATAAAAATTCTAACTTATCGAAGAACAAGCGGTAACAAAGAAAAAATATATTTTTTTGCAACAAATGGTATAATTCATTAAAAATGTGCAGAAATATTCACAGTTCTTATAAAAATATAGTTATATAAAATAAATACAATATTTAAAGTACAATAAAGTAAATAAATAAATTACAAATGAAAAGAGCAGATTGTGCTAAACACATATCAGTTTTATTTTGTGAAAATACCAAGTTTCAAGTTGCGATTATCTAGAAAAAATGTGATAAGTGAGTCATTTTGTGCAATTGTGTTAAAAAAATGGCAGTGTGTTCAAACATTCCTACGAATATTGTATTCAGTACCTCTCATTTGTATTTTATTTACTGTACAATCACATTTTATTCTTACAATTACAAGGATATTCCATGAGCTTTTTTGCTTTTATTCTCTAATTATTCACAGACCGTGTGTCTGATTTTGATTCAATCATTCTGCATAAAGTCGGTTTTGATCCCTATCTCCTAATTTCAAATTAGTATTTACAACCAAATTATTAAGCAAAACATATACATACAACAAATTGGAACAAACTTCAACTCCTTAAAATAGCCGAACATAATTTTACATTACAATCTTGAGATTCGAAAACGTAAATAAATGAAAATAATTTACAATTAAACAAAGGAAATATTTGTAAAACATCGTTGAGTTTCGTTGTTCATTCCGCATCCGAGTTTTCATACGTCTATTAACACACTGTTTCACTGAAAATAAAAAAAAATCAATAAGTAACGTGTTAAAAAGTGTATGGCACCACCAGGGTGCGGCCGCATAACTTCATTTTTTCAATACTTAATTAAACCCATTGTATGAATCAACATTTTTATTATTCCTAGGATTTTGATGTGCATAGTTGTAACGATCAAATCAGATAGGTGACGTCTCCCATTCTTCATACATTAAGCAACCCTATTTCTGGCGTTTATCATGAGTCTTGCCAGCATAGCAGGCGTTATGTTAACAATTTCTTCCCGGATATTACTCTTCAAGTCTTGTAGGATCCTTGGTCGGTTGACATGAACACGGGTTTCAGAAAACCCCATAAAAAAATCATAAGGAGTCAATCGCCCCTAATTGAGATGAGGCGCTCTGGGAAGTGTTCCCTCAAAACAGCAATCGATGCTTTTGAAGCGTGTGTCGTTACACCGTCTTGTTGGAACCAATGTCCCCTAAGTAAAACTCATCTAGCCGTGGACAAAAATCGACTTCATTTTCCTCAAAGAACCAGGGACCAATAATTCATACTGAGGGAAATGTACACCACATTGTGACTTTAGATGAATGCAAAAGCCTTTCATGCAATTCTCGAGAATTGGTGCCAGTCTAGTTCGCGCATGTTTTGTTTGTTGACGGATCCACACAAATGAAAGTGGGCTTTGTCGCTCAAAAACAATATGCGTCCTCAGGAAGGACTTCGAGAAGACGCTCACCCTCGCGTTCATCCGAGAATTGAAGTCACGGCACGTACCTGCACAATTGCCATCTTGTGAAGATGGAAATGAAGATCATTATGGAGAATTATCCTCGCAAAACGATCAGAAAGTCCACCGACAGACGCCTGTTTGCGCGCAGAACGCTGTGGTGATCGAAACATTGAAGCTCTCACTGCCTCAATGTTTTCAGGTGATCTAATTGGCTGAGGGGCTCCTTCGTCTTGTCACATTTGCAGTTAATCTAAACGTGGCGACCCTCGTAACAATTGATTTCCGGTCCGGGACCAGGGCCAACGGGGCTACAGTATATTCAGATAAGAGATAGACCGGATGTAAACAAAAGGTTCGGGTGATTTTCACGCTAACGCCGCCGTCTCGACGTAAACCAGGAGCCCTCATTGGTCAATTCGCAATTAAATGCCTATGCCGAGCGGCAGAGCAGTCGTATCAAGGCAGAGTCACATTCAGGTTCAGACGTGTTACGTATGTCGTGTGCATCATTGCAATTTGATATTTCTTTGGACGTTTTCGTTTGTTATCTTATTAAGTTGTTGAGTTTGTCGTTGTTATTGTTATACCTTGTTATTGATTGTTATTGTTATCAACTGCTTGCGCAAAATGCCCAGTAGTACAGATACTGCCGATGAAGTTGTAAACTCCTGTAGTCCACCTAGGAAACGCTCTAAAAAAAGGTATACCTGAGTGCAGAAATGAAAGAGGTCATTTTGAATATATATAAGATCGAGCGCGAGGAGAACGAGGCATCAACCATCAAAGAAATTGTTGTGAAGGTTTCTCACAAAGTTGGGGTGTGTCGCGCATCAGTGTTTAATGTGTTAAGACAATACAAAAAAAATCACACCTTTTCTGAGCCAATGACCAGTAAACATCGCAAAAGTATTGTTAAATCATTGGATGAAGCTGATAAGCATGCGATTAGGAGGAAAGTGCATGAATTCTTCTTTAGGAATGAAATACCTACTATAGATAAAGTACTGCAGGAGGTAAATGGAGATACAACGTTGCCAAATTTCAAACGATCAACTTTCCATGCGTTACTGAAGCATTTAAATTTCAAATGGAAAAAACGGGGTCGTAATAGTTTACTACTGGATAGAGAAGAAATTGTGCTATGGAGGAGGGATTATTTAACAAAAATTGGGAAATATAGAAATCAAAACAGGAAGATTTATTACCTTGATGAAACGTGGGTAAACGTAGGACACTCTACAAGTAAAGTATGGGTTGGTGATTCTGTAACTTCATCCAGGAGGGCCTTTCTAGATGGACTGTCCACCGGATTAAAAAATCCAGCAGGTAAATACGAGTAATAGACAACAATCAGATGTTTTTCAAACCTTGGGAACAAGGTTCTAAACATTAATTCCAGGGGGCAGATAAAACATATTACAAGTAACAAAACTTTTATAACTTTCGATAAAATGCGTGGATGTTTTATTGTCATTTTCATTTGTTAGAACTTTTTTAAGCCATGTTTTTATGTGTTTTCGATATTTCAATAATTTTTTTATATAATCTTAAAATATGTCGAATATTATAAACTTAAAAAAAGTTACTAAGATTTATATTGTGTACCGTTCCTAATATTTCTAATCATTTTAATTCATACTTTAAGCTTTATAAAGTTATAATTTGTGAATATTAATATTTGCGCGTATTTCAGGTTCCTGATCATTCATTTTTTAAAGGTTTATAACTTTAAATTAAATTGTGAAGCGCTGAGTAATCATACGACGTTCAATATTCTTTCTTTCAATATGACTAAATAATCCCAATTGTAGCAATCTGATACTCATGTCTCAATGTTTTTTCGCTGAATGTGATGAAAACATTTGAAAAAGGTTCGCTTATTAAAATAAATCTACACCAGTTAGTACTTCGATTTCCAGGTAAAGGGAAAAGGCTCATTATCTGCCATATTGGCAGTGAGGATGGATTTGTTGTTGACGGTCTGTGGTGCTTTGAGTCTAAGAAAACTGGAGATTACCACGAGGAAATGAATGGCGAATCGTTTGAACAGTGGTTTTCAAAAATTTTACCGAACTTAGAGGAAAACGCAGTAATTGTGTTGGATAATGCGCCTTATCATTCTCGAAGAATGGAGAAGGTCCCAACAACGGCTTCAAGGAAAGTTGATGTTCAAAATTGGCTCCGCTCGAAAAATATCAACTTTGAAGAAGCAATGCTGAAAGTACAATTATTAAGAATTGTCAAGGATCACAAGGCGGAATATCAAAAATACGCCATTGACGAAATGGCAGCAAGTCAAAATAAAACTGTGCTCCGTTTACCTCCATATCATTGCGAGCTCAATCCCATTGAACTCATATGGGCAGAGGTTAAAAATTATATAGCTAAGCACAATACAACTTTTAAATTTTGTGACCTCAAAGGACTTTTCAAAGAAGCACTAGAATTAATAACAGCGCAAAAATGGGAAAACTGTATTAAGCACGTGAAAGACAAAGTTGAAAAGAGAATGTGGGAACTGGACAATATTTTAGAGGAGCAAGTCGAGCCATTCATTATTGACGATGGTGCTTCAGGCAGTAGCGATGATGAAAGCTCATCAAGCTCATCTTTCCAATAAAAGATGTCGTTCATCAAATTCGGTAAGTTATAAGTAATTATAAAGCTACTGTATTTTTTAATTAATTATTTACATTTTTGAACCCATTTTGGCAAAACCTATTCAAGAATCTACTTTCTGACAATGTTCAACCATGCACATTTTTTTACGTTTTGAACGTTTTAATTTGGTTACATATTTACCTAGAAATCAAAAAATATACTAATCAATATTCTAAAAGCAATTTTAAGAGATATACGATTATTTTTAATTTAGGCTAATTTAAACGCCATTTTGAGATTATATTCGACTGTATTTTACCAAACATCAGGCGGCATCCGAAGCTGGAAATCGAAGCGAAAATTTTGAAACCCTTATGTATATTTACATCATTATATATTTCTTACCCCACCCCCACATGATCCTATATCCATCACCAATCGTATAGACATCGAATTGTGCTAATTTACTACAAAGTTACGCCAAGCAGCATCTACTATCTAAAATATGTACTGCGTGACTCTTAATACGTCCCTGCCGAATGTTACAGCGTTCGATGATCACGTGGTCTTGTTTATGTCCGGTCTATCTCTTATCTGAATATACTGTAGATTACAGCGATTTCAAAAACGCGATCGGTTTAGATCACAGAACATCCGCTCGAAAAGTAGCCCTCAACAGTAAAAGCGTGCTCCTTACTGTTACAACGCATGATTGCGACTGAATTGTGTCGGGTCTAGAGGTGTTGAAAAAGTCACTAATCGTTACTCCGTCAATCAGAGCATGAAATGATTACTTTAATTGCTCTGTTTTCCGTATCGGTACCCGGTTCGCGTACAATCGTTGATCGTTGAGTGGCAACGCTGGTTCCTGCCATCTTAGGCAACACTGCAGCACTACCGCTCATGTAACCCACATTCGCGTGGAAACCCAGAAACTCCATATTTAAAAATAATCATTAAATTCTGTGTCCGCCAAACAAAAAAACATTAAGTTTAATAGGTACCTATTTACACCGTGACTCAACTTCGCTCATATTGTTGTGATCTTTTCAACCTTAAAAGGGATAAGGAGTTGAATGAATTGGAGCAAAGTTCGGCAGTATTATGACCCAGAAAAGCGGCAACAGAGCCGCTTTCCAGTGCCTAATTTGTGTTACTCGGAGTAACTCGGAGCTAACCACCACCTGTCAATACCGTTCCAGTGCTCTAGTATAGTGTCTAGCATCTGAGCTATTCATTTTTTAAATCCCCAGCCCCCTCATGCATCAGCTTTTTATTCGGTGTTATACGCTCCGAAATGGTGGGGATAACGAAAATGACAATGTGTCAAGATTGTTAAGTCTTTTTTTTTCATTAAACTCACATTAAACCGATACCAGACAATGGAGGATGATAAGAAGCTGATTATGTTATGACCCAAAGTCACACATACATTTGAGATGTTCCTGAATAATTAATATCACAAAAGAGTGCAAGAATGCAGATTCATAGCAGCTTGTAGTTGGCGTCATCTATAACTAGATACTTTGAAAATAATTCTGAATGTCTACACTAAAATCTGAATTCGACACCGTCGTTTATCCAGAAGCTTTACGTGTTGTGCCAGCATTCTAAAAACATCATTAGGCATCAATTGGATAGTCTGATAATGCTTCTGAAAATAAAGGCAAAATGTGTCTACATTTTCATTGTTTGGCAGTGTGATACAAATTGTCAACGTGAAAGCAAAACATCAACAAACAGATTAGGTTATTATCGTCGCGTTCCGGTGCACATTTGCTAGTGCAGTTCGGAAGCGTCACACTCCGGGTGCATACAACTCTCAATTCAAAATCACTGGAAAGCAGCTCAGGGTAACCGCACCGTTGACGAAAACCACAATAATAAAATTCTGTCAATTTGATTCGTGTTTACTTATCCCCCTTTTTGCTAAATAATTATAATTCAGTATGTCCACCAACAGTATGTGTAGACTAGGTTAGGTTAGGTTTCTTGTGAGTGCATCAATAACGATCCTCCACTGGGACTCTTTGGTCTACATCTCCAAGTATGTTGTACCTGATTCTGGCAATTGCAGGGCATCTGCACAATACATGCCTGACCGTTTCGTCTCCCTCCTGTAGGTGTTGGAGCTGGTATCTTCGCGCCGAAGCTAAAGATTGAACAATCTGTTACCCTAGGAACCTGGGCATCGATCTTCCAGACAGAGCTATATGCTATAGAACTGGGTGCCAGAATGATCGCAGAACGAAAACTAAGACACAGAACTATAATTATTTTTCCATGTGTAGACTAAGCTCCATGTAGAATTTTTTATACTGGCACATGCTTAATTGAAACGCTTCGAAAAGTTACTTGCCATTCCGGATTCCCTTAAGCACACATACACATACAAGCATTTCCAGAAAATACAAAGTATTCTCAGTTTCTAGGCTCTTATGAGTCCTATGACACCCTATCCTATAATAACCCATCTCGTTTTGCATAAAGTTTGAGGATACGATATTTGCATTAAACACGGCAGATTTGAAAATAAGCTATTCTTGGAAAATTTTGCAAATTTTATTGTTGTCTATTTTCTTACAAGATTAAGTTCCATTGTTTAAATTCGACATTAATTACACGACGCATGTTGCCCAATCATTATACTCCTACTACTCATAGTAATCAAAGTAATGAATGCAATAAATGATTACTTTGTAGAAGAGTAACGATTAGTAACAAATACTCGAAAGTAACGAGAATCAACAACACTAGTCGGGACCAAACTTTGTAGTCCCGCCTCTCGCACGAGACCACTAGCGCTCAGCTACATGAACCTGCTGAATGGCGTGCATTTCAACAAAGGAAGTTATGCTGCCGCGCCCTGTTTTAGAAAAATGTGGCAATACGTCTAGAGTAAAAAGTATATCCAAAAATAAAAAAAAGTTCGGATAAATATAGATCACGAAGTGTCTCATTGATAAGAAGCAGACGGTTATAAATTTCTACGCTTCTGATAGGACTGAATAAGGAGAAAATATGTGTTCAAATAACCCTATGGTGAGCTAGGACTTCTCTCCTAATATACGAAAATTTTCAGCGTTAAACTTCGCTAACTTCAGCGTATTTTTACAATAGAATTGAAGTTGTTTATATGAATTTTACTTCAAATATCCAGACTGAAAAAAATTTCTCAAGAGAGGCTATTCATGTAAAATTGAATACCTTATTCAAACATGCAACACATCTTTCAAAAAATTCAGTGGCGTAGAAACTATTTTTCCCTATTTCTTCTGTATGGGTCAACATTTCCCCATTTCTGTGCCACTGGTGTAGTCTAAGGCACGAATTTTTTTTGTATGTGTTGCCTATATGTCTATGTTGTTAGTACTATGACTCTCTATGTAACTAAAATTTTAAATTAATATCTAACTGACTGAAGATATAATTGTTTTTTTCGATTTCACAACAGAAACTTTAATTCCCTGTACCTTGTTGAGGGTGTTTTAGAAACTATGTGTATAACTTTTCGTGTTACTATTGGGTATACTTTATACCCTAAAAATATTGCCATGTTTTTCTGAAGTACCCTAAATATAAGAAGATCGTCTCCTAAAGGACAAGAGAATTTTTCAAATCTAACGATAAATAAGACACAGACAAGACCAGCGAATCAACATTTACAAGAATAAAGCGTTTGACAGCATAGTTTCATGTATAAGCGAGCAACATCTATAGCCTCAAAATCCTGGCTGCAATAGCTGTTTATGCAGTAATGGAGTAACTGATCTTCCACAAGCCTGATTTTGCTAGCGACATGAACAATATCTGCGCAATAAAGCAGACAACAGCAACACACGACATTTATGCTACATACGTTAGAAAAAGACAGACACAGTAGAGTACCCTAGTTCGTTTTCTGACAAACACATTTCAAAATTTTGAGCATCGTCTTTGAGCGAAGTCGCCCTGTAATACAAGTAAAAATGGAGTCAACTTTATCAGATTTTTTTGCAATTCATAATTCATCGGAGATAGAAACATAAATTCGTTTGCAATTCTTCAAATATTTGCGTGATAAATAATACCAAAAAATGAAAATAAGTTGATGCAACTTACCTAGTTAACTCTCTACCACCTATCAAACCGGTTCTCGATCTCGACCTCACCAACTGTGCTCTTCTTTCCGCTAGAAAAAAATTTTGATATTACATAAACATTAAAATAATATTTTACGTCAAAAATGTATTATGAATGCCACACAATGCAAGAACCTTACCCTCAACATCCATTAGGCAGTCTTTTAAAAAATTACACAGTTATTTAGTGACTATTACAAAGTGTAGCACTACTATTTGATATAATCATGCTGTGAAGCATTACAGTTCCACTTAAGACTCAATAGTACTAGTAATTTATTGCCTATGTTCTTTTATTTGTGCTTTAGGAAATAAAAACGAGTGACTCTAATTTTGGCGGACCTCACAAATTTGAATCAGTTGTATGCTACATAAAAACTAATGATGAGATTAATATTCCCAAAGTTTTACGTTAATTTCGCATTTCATTTTTCAGGTGACTGAAGATTTTTTGCAATGATTTAAATGCAAATAACAATTAGAAAATTATGAATATATAACTTGATAAAGGATGTGTATAGGTCTTTTCATCGTTTTTGGCGGGTCGCAGTAAAACTATATGAATTATGTACTTTCATACATTCATCTTCCTCACACACACGAGGGGTACTAGAAAAGAGCCTAGCCATGAAACAAAAGACGTAAGATTTTTTTTGATAATTCTGTTTTTGAATAAAAACCCCCCTTAGGGAATAAAAGCCAGACGGAGCCAACAATCGTTGGCCAACAAGCGTAAAACACGCATTGCACACTTCTCGCGCGTCTCTCTCGTACACATTACCATGTCAGTGGTATTTGGATTTCAGTGTAGAATTCACATAAAGCTACTATTATAAAACTGGTCGCTTTTTGAAAATATATGCTTTGTAATTTAGAACAATCATGGGGGGATTATCGACATGAAAATCACAGGATAAGTTTCAGATATTACATTATAATCTTTGTATTTCGCAATTCATGCCTTATTATTTTACCGAGTCTCTGTGATCGGACGCTCTGGAAGGGAACTAAATATACCCTTTAAGCTTTGAGTGACTAAAGTTCTGTTGAGTATTCAAGTCAAAGTCGTGCTTCATACTGTAGAGCCTTAAGCCTGATACCACAATTTTTTTTAAAAAACAGCTAGAAGGGAGTATTTTCTCTTACCTCCGGCAGGTCTAGGCCCCCTCCTTTTCTTTTGTTCCCTGCCGAAAGCGCTACCGGACGAGAGCGCCTCCAGAAGACTGTCCATGACACCCTCCTGAGTTTCCTTCGGATTCATGTCTATCAGTCGCCTCTTATTCCTCTCTTCCTTCTCCTGTTCTTGTTTCAGCTTCGCTTGACGTGCCCTCTCTTTCTTCTCTTCCAATTCGCGATCTCTTTGATTGTCTGACTTTGCTTGCTGAAAAATACAAAAACGATGTCAAATGGGCCGACTCGGGAATTAATATCCCTGAATTACTGGTTCTTCTAATCTAAAATTACCACAACGCCAGTGGTCTAGAACACCGAAAAGCTGTCAAAAAATACAATTTTTAAGGCATTCATACGATATTCACCACAACCAGTTTTTTTGGGTCGCTGATTTCAGATAGTTTGTCTTATGACGGAATTTGAAGGTTACTTCAAGGTCATATCAAGGACGATTTCAAAAGAAGACAAACAGTCGAGCCCAAGGTCACTCCTAGGGCAAATTCAAAATAACACTACTAATCATATCCAGGCACGTACCATATACCAGGAGTCCTCAAAGTTGGAACTTTCCTTTAATAAGCATGTTTTTTAGTAACATATATAGCAAAGCTTTAAGATAACCGAAATATCAGGTTCCAAAAAGCAATAAAGGAACCACTATGTCCCCGTCTCCTTCCCCTCCCACAATCCCCTCCTACGTCAAAACGTATGATGTACTAAGACTATATGAATCAGTATCCAAACCAGGCGACGCGTTGTGTCTAGGTTAACCTTGTTCATAAACAAACCTCAGTTGAAAACCGAAATTGGCACATTCCTAGAGCAATAACGTAGTTATCGATTTGATATGAGCATCTTCAAGATCCTATTGATACTCCGCGAGTGTACTTAGAACGTCGCCGTACCCTCGATGTTTGTTTCCATCAGAGCTGCATATGTGTTTGTTTACATCATGAACAGCGTCTGGTTGAACACAGCTGAAGACCTAGACAGTCCCAAATGTTGAAAATGTTGGAAGAGGTAAACAAACCTGGGTTTTTGAAACGAACAGCGATAAATTCAAGCAGTGTTTACAGACAAAACATCTGACTGGGCAGTACTTGAAATTCGTTACCAAATGAATAGTGAGTATTTTTCTTCAATTTCTTTTTACGTTTCCGGTGTTGTTTTGCAAATTAGCTTAGGTATTGCAAACGTACTTGACTGTGGAAAGGAAAGTCCCAACTTTCATGACTCCCTGTATCTCCTTATGGTCACTGAGTCAAAATCAGTGACCAACATTTAGAATGAAGATTATTTCAACACATGTGGTTCCTTTTGGCCAGAGAAATAATTTGTTCATCCCACAAAAACTTTCAATTTTAACGTACTTACGTTGTACGAGGGTCACGCTGTATATTTTGAGATGCGCATTAACTATACTAGTTAAAACCGGCAACAGTGCACTATTAAAAAGAGCAGTCCTTTAGTTGTACGTCGCCGCAGTCAGTGCATTTGCAAGTGTCTTACAGTGCACGTGGTGTAAACAAATTTAAGACGAAAGATGGAGTTGTCTCGAAAGAGTTTTCGCGCTATGATTTAGTATAACGGACGGTTTAACTGAACATCAATTAATCGAACGGTTACAATAGGTTTTTGGTATTGAAGCTCCGTCCCGGACAAGGGTGTATCGCTGGTATGCCGAATTCAAAAGAGGGCGTGTTTCATTGGCTGATGAAGAACGTAGTGGTAGGTCATGTTCTAGTGTGACTCCAGAAAACATTGCTAAAGTTCAACGGCTAATTTAGCGAGATTCTCGCGACACATATGCGACTGTAGAGGCAACTCTTGGGGTAGGATCCGCAACAGTGCACATCATTTTGCATTATTATCTTCATTGACAAAAAGTTGCAACGGTGCAATCCTGTATCACGACAATGCCTCTAGCCACACTACCCAACTAACTTTTTACGCCAGCACCTCATCAAAATGCTAGAACATCCGCCTTATTATCTAATTAGCCAGATTAGGCAATGTGTGACTTTTGGCTCTTCAACAATTTGAACAAAAATCTGCGTGGTCGAAAATTTTCGTCCGAAGAGGAAATCGATCAAGCAATTAATCAGTTTGTTGAAGACATTCCAAAAACTAACTGGTTAAAAGTACTTAATTTATGGTAGGTCAGTTTTCGAAAAATAGTTTATAGTTTTCGTGTATCTCAAAATATATAGCGTGGCCCTCGTATCAACCTTTTATCATAATTCGAATGATAGTGCCAAGCATTATTTTCACAGACAGGCCGACAAATATGAGTTACTATTTACTATGTAAAAAAATCGCCGCACCATTTCTTTCTCACAGATGGCTTTTATTTGAAAAAAGAAAGATCACTTACAACAAAGCCATCTTTGAAGGTTTTCAAATCCGTGAAAAACTCTTCAAGGGTATACTTCTGTTTATCAAAGACATAGTATTCGGCAAGGTCACTGTACAGGTTCTCCATTTTTTTGAACATTTTCTGCATCACATCACACTGTTCTCTGGCCTCCTCGCAGAATTTCTATAAAAAAACGTTTTCTAATTACACTTTACCTTTATATGAACAATGCGTTGTTATATATAAAAGATGTCATCATACCTCCATAACTTCTAAAAACTTATCTTCTTCACTCTGAGGTACTCTGTTATTCGTTAAATCTGTCTTTAGGTTCTTTATATTGGAGTCCATCTGTTGTAGTGTTTTCTGTATCGTATCTAACGATACTCGACTAGCTCTAAAAATAATGAACCTTAAAAAATGTATTCTTCTAGTACCATCTTTGATACCTACCTATCAATATGTGGCATTTCATCGTAGAAATTCAAAAGTTCTGGCCATTTATTTTCTATCGTTTGTGCTATGTAATGAAGCAGGGTCTGTTTATTGTTTACGTCTTTTGTGGCAGTTAACTGAAGAAAAATTAAATTAGATCACATTTAGGGTAGCTAGCACCGACAAGGGAATTAAAAACTAAGTTAATATACTAAGTGACATAAAAAATGCAACACCCAGAATTATTTATTGAATTTTGAAAGAAACTTGTAAATATATTTGCTATCGTGGAAGTATGCGCTGATAAAATATTGAAGGCATTCCGAGCCGTACTTTTTGTGTATGTGTTCTATTTGTTTCATTGCTGCTTCATTGCATTATCATGTCTAGAGTTCGTTAATTCCACTCAACTTTCCGAGTTTGAGAGGAGTCGGATAATCAATCGGGTTACCTGAAGCCGGATTTTCTTTTAGTGAAATCGCTAATCGGGTGACTGGACGTCAAAGACGCAACAAGGGCAGTTGCGAACCAGTGGTTTAATGCTGTCGGACACAATGAGAACAGTTTAACGCCGAATAAGGTCTTCTGGACTGTTTTCATACCGTCCCCATTTTGTACTACCTCCGACCCCACAGCACCGTCGGCAACGATTGGTATGGAGTAGGGAGACACTTGAATGGAATATGGAACGGAACTCAGTCGTGTTCAGCGAGGAGTCCAGATTCTGTTTGGGCACACATGATGGCCGTGCAAGAGTAAGGAGGACGTGGTGAAAGACCAATATTCCATCGAACGGCATATTCATCGCACTGTGGGTGTTATGGTATAGGGTGCTATTGCTTACGGCAGCAGGTCACGATTGATGTTTATTCGAGATAACGAAGTTTTACAACCACATCTGCTTCCCTTTTTGGAAACATTGCAAGATCCACTTTTTCATCAGGACAATGCACGACCTCATGTCGTACGTGTTAGTTTAGGCTTTTTAGAAGCGTCCGGAGTAAATCTGCTCCAGTGGTCTCCTCGATCTCCAGACCTTTCCCTCATCGAACATGTATGGGACATGATGGGAAGAAGGTAACAAAATCCACCGCACCCTCCACAAACATTGGAGGCAATAAGAAACCAAATTCAGATAGCCTGGGATACAATACACCAAGAAGATATAAATTACTTAATCCAATCAATGCCGCGACGACTTAACGAAGCGAACAGAGGAGCTTCAACACATTATTAACATTAAGGTGGGATATCTCAGCTATTTTGCGAAATTTCGAGTCAAAATTTTAATCACTTTCTCTTTATCAGTAGACCTAAAAGTTGTAAAAGTATGCTCAAATTAACAGGACTCCTAGTCGGTGTTACATTTTCTGTGTCATTCAGTATATTAAAAAAATATCTATAATTTTTTTGGGGCGAATTCGGTTCCGTATACGGATGTGGTACAATTGCATAGTCTCACTATTAAAAATATCGCCTAATCGCAGAACTCTCGATGTCGCCAATTTTTGATATTTTCAACAACATACTAATTTAGTTTTGAATTCTCCTGGTTGGTGTTCGCCACTCTTAATATTCAATTTTTCCTCGCAGCTATTCTCAGTATTTTTCAACGACAGAAAAGAAAATCTCCTGCTCTGCAGCAACAGACCATGAGGTGGCAAAGCTGACACCTAAAGGAGGTGATCAATGCGTAAGTACATCGTAAACGCAGGGTGTAAACACCTATGGGAGATACAGCTTAGGTTAAATTAGGACAAAGTTCTTTGGGGCGTATTTACACGCCGTTGAGGAACTTGTACAAATTTCATGGCTTACTGAAAACCTAAAATTTGGCCAAATGTTTTTTATTTTTTCTGACTTTATTTTAAGAAATATCAAAATTACTGATTAAACTTTCCCATTGGCAGTTTTTAGCCACTATATGATGGTGTTTTTAAATTTTGTGCCCGACGGTTCGATTTTGAGAACCCATCATGAACTTTATTTTTTATACGGTCAAAAAGTACACACTGTATCTTATATCATTTTTTTATACGAATTCAAAGACGTATCACAAGTTTTATTTATTTTCTTGGTTGTAAGGATAACAGCCTTTTTTCAGATTTTTTTTTTCAAGAAGGCGTTGCAAACAAATGCTCAACTTGACGTAAATATCAGTCACCGAGTAATGTTATTATTGTATATTAATATTTGTTGAAATGTTATACACTTTTTTGTAATTGTAATGTCCGTATTTATTTTATATTTATACGTATTTTTCCGGCATATTTGCTCAAACGCATATATGACCCTCAGTTTCATATTTATAAGTCTTATATCTATTGCTTTATTATCGTCATAGATGCCAGGCGGTCATTTTAGAAATAAAGAAAGGTTCGACATGCTGACGTGCTACAAAAATACTGCAGAAATGTATCTTGATAATTTTCCCGAAAGAAGGCAGCTAAGTAAGTTCATTTTCTTAGAGTTGGCTCGAAATTCAAATGAATATGGTTTATTCAAAAAGCCTGTTATGTCTCGGAAAAAGGGAAAAAGGAATCTTTATAGGAAACTCAGAATGTTTTACAAGCAGTTGCTGAGAACTCTGAGATATCAACTAGGCAAATTGAGAAAAATGTAGGAGTAGCCACATCCACAGTCCAATTTATTTTGCGTAAAAATAGATATCAACTCATATAAATTCAGGATTTGCCAACGACATAGACTAGGTGATAGCGAACGGCGCCAGAATTTTTGTGGCACACACAAACGTGTGAGGAAGATTTTAATTTCCATTCAAAAATAATATGTTCCGACGAGAGTAGATAGTTATAATGGTATCTTATATTGCTGCAACACTCATTACTGAACTAAATAAAACCTGCAGGCTTAACAAGTATCCAGGTATCAAGAAAATTTTGGGTTTAATATGCGGTGTCGAATTATAGGGACTAACATATTAGATGCATTTATTTACCACAACTCGTTATCGGCAAGACGCTACCTTTAATTAATGCAACATGATCTAGACTAGAAGACTGCCTGCATATCCAAAAGAACTGTCATCTGTCACCTGACATGTGTCATCTGTTATTTGGCATTTCAAAATCAACTAAGTCATATTTTTTCAATATGCTTCTTACTGAAACCGCTTCCCTGAAGGTAGATGCGTATTCTGGTTATAAACCACGTAAGTCAGTACATTTCTTCTTCTTCTTCGAATCACTATATCCAGTTTGTTTGTTTGTTTAAGATTTATTAAGCATGATTGCTACAATTACATTCTTATAAAAAACTAAACAATTGCATAACATACAGATATTCAGAAAAAAACAAAATTTGCATCTCTAAGAATTTTCACTGTCCATGAAATATTCCTTTAATTTCCTTTGAAACATCTTTAAATTACAAGTAGACTTTATATCATTATTTAGTTTATTAAATTCAAGTAATCCTTTCTGAAATAGTGATTAGCTAGTTATATTACTATTGCAATTTTGTAAATGAAAATCTATATTTCCTCTTGTATAATAATTGAGGTAATGATTATTCAATTCTAGGTAGTGTTGTGGCAAAAGATGATTTTTTATTTTAAATATAAAAATAAGAACCAAATTTGATATGAAATTTTTTATATTCAACCGCTGCAACTCTTGTAACATAGATTTTATTTTGGTGTACTTATTTTTATTCAATATTATTCTCGTAGCTTTATTCTGCAGGACATGTAATTTTGAGAATACAGCTTCATTGGCAGTGATCCTCAAACTTTAGTTTACTAATATATATATATATATATATATATATATATATATATATATATATATATATTCAACACTTTCAATTATTTCGCCATTTATCGTAACTGTGAAGGTATTTTCATTTAGGTATTTCCCTATTAGCATATATTTTGTTTTAGAAGTATTTAATTCTATTTACATTTAACCAATTTATGATTTTTGCAAGTCAGAATTTAGCATTTTTAAAGCAGTGTCTATATTTTGATCTGATACATATATTAATGTATCATCTGCAAATATCTAAATTTTACAATAATCTAAAATATTACAAATGTCATTAATGTATAAAATAAATAGTAGTAGACCTAGTTTACTACCTTGTGTTATACCAACAGAAATATTTTTTTCAGCTTGATAATGTAGATCCAATTTTCGTGCGTGTGAAATTTCTGGTGTAATATGCTAATCAGTTCTCATATATAAAGGTATTTACCTTAGTAAGGAACGACATTTCAAATCCAAATGCCTGTGCGTTTCTACTTCCAGAGTTCATGTAATTGCCCATAAGCAAAATAAGCTCCAAAATCCTTGCGAACTTTTTACTTTTTTTCACCTCTTCACATGCTGCTGTTGCCGCTACAATATCCTGAAAATTTAAATTAGGAATCAAGGAAAGATCAAAGTTTACAATTTAGAACGTAAAATATGTTTCCACATTACAAAAAACTTACTGGTTTTGTGTCTTGAACCATTTCTACATAATGATGTTTAAAACTAAGGGATTTCAATCTGGGTAACAGTCTTTTCACCTCCGAGATTTTTACACAAAACTGTTCAGCTTCTGTTAGGTCTTTGTACTTGTCTTTGAAGTTTTGTAGTTTGCTAAGTTGGTCGGCTGGAGGTAGATACTGGAAAAAATAATGATAGAGATGCAGAAAATCAAAATTAAATATGAACATACTTGTATAAGCTGTTCAGTAATGCTTTCAGACAAAATCGTATCATCACAACGTAGTAAGGCCTTCTTGATGTCATCATAATCCATGTGTTTCAGTGAACCACCCAACAAAATACTAATATTTTGGGCAGTTTTACTATCCAAAACTTTCAATTCTTTCACTTTTTTCAATGTACCACAATTGCTGCTCCTGGAAATTAAAAAGAATCTTTAAGAATATTGATATTTGAGAAAATCATAATATATTGCTTGAACAAAAATAAAAATACTTTACACTTGCCTATCCGTCACATCTTCCGTATTTTTGACAGGTTTTGATGAGAATTTCGTTGCCAGCCCATCTAGAATGTCTGGTTCTGCCAGATCCTCCTCTTTTGCTCTTACCCAGAAGGCCTTTTCTGACATCTTTTGAGGAATAATCTAGAAAAATATATTAGTTTCAAAAACAGTAAGTCTAAAATGTTTATTTCATCGAAATATCAATTTTACGTCCAAAATCTATATTCAAGGTGTTTTTGCTTTTTTCTATGATGAGAAGCTGTCAAAGGAACCGGATCTAGACTTTTGAGACTCTATGGTCAAATTCAGATTTGGTGTTAAAATCAAGTTAAAACAGGCTAATTTTATATCAAGTTTTTGGCCTATTGTGTTTGTTTTAACAAACTATATAGGTAGTGACAGCCCGCAAAATAGACATAGAACGCGAACGGAAATCGGAGTTTTAAGCGCAATTCATATTTGTTTTAAGATATTTATATATCAGGTGTTTCAAATTCAACACACACCACTGGGATCTCGCAAACGGTAAAAGATACAAATGGGAGCAAAGTTACGTATTTAAGTAACTCACAAAATGCGGCTTAGAAAGTTTAATAATTCAAAGTACGTCTGGAGACAGACGGAAAAAAAAGATTTTTGCCAAAATAGTTGTAGTTTTTATTTGTAGTGAGATTTAAAAAAAAAATGCACATTAGAATTGTCACTTTTTCTCGTCTATAAGATGGCATAATCAGAATTTCAATATGACGTTTCATCTATTGTCCTTCACCATCAACTTTATTTTTTCTTATGGATGCCATATTGGATTTTTGAACAGTTGAATAGTTTTTAATTCTGATTCCAAAAATGTATAACGTGTCATACATTGATATTGCCAAAAAACAGAATTTCCGAGGTAGACAAAATTATTTTTATTTTTTCTTCTTTCGACTTCGATTGACAACTTTGTTTTTTCATATGGACCATATATTTTGTATATTTAAATACTACTGAGAATAAAATTATTAAATTAATTAAATAATAAATATGTGAACTTTATCGTGGCATAAATGTATTATATTCATAACTAAATGCAGAGTCAAAAATTATTTTCGATTGGCTAAAATGTCAATAGGGAGTCCATAAGAAAAAAACAAAATTGAGGATGGAGATCAAAAGCAAAACGTCTTATTGAGATTTTGACTATACCCTCTTGTAAGGAGAAAGACTGGCAATGCTTAAAATAACTAGGTTTGGCAAAAATCCATTAGAAAAAATAAAGTTGATGGTGGAGGACAAGAGTCAAAACGTCATATTGAAATTCTAATTATACCATCTTGTAGAGGGGAAAATGTGGCAATATAATGTGAAATTAACCTAAATACGCAACTTTGCCCTCATTTAAGCCACTGCGTATCTCTTTCCGCTTTCGAGATCCCAATGGTGAGTGAATTTGAAACACCCACTATAAGTAATCGCAAAAGTGAAGATATTCCAGTGAAATCCCGGGACTATCTGGATCTTTCTTTCCCAGGACTATTCCCTAATCAGGACATCCTTTACTACAAAAATAACAGCTTACCGTTTTCCAATTGGCCCTTTTTAACGGTCCCTTGACCTCCCACTTCTTCTTGGGCTTGAGTCCGTGCGGCAACAGGTCCGGCCTCGGCATAGCCGCCCCCCCTCCCGGTATGGGTGGAGGGGGCATCATGCCGCCGAACATTGGAGGGGGTGGGGGGCCCATACCGCCGCCCGGCATAGGAGGAGGAGGTGGGCCCATGCCGGGCATCGGGGGTGGAGGGGGGCCTGCTCCTGGCATTGGAGGAGGCGGTGGACCCATCCCTGAAAAAGATGGGGCCAATCAGTCAAGATTTATTGATTTTATATACTTAATTTGTCTATATGTTGAAGATTTATTCATTAATGCTACAATGTCAATTTCGTTTAATTTACACATTTTTCTGTAATTTTACATTCTTGTTCATTAAAATTACATCACTATGCATTTTAGGTATTCATAGTGATTTTTTAATTTCACCTTGAACATTTTTAAATGCGAACACTGTTTAATATCGTGGTTAAATTTATTAAATTCATATACTCTCCAAATACAGTTTTGCTACTATTACAATTTCGCAGATGAAAATTTATTTGCATCAAGCATTGTAGATGATGATGATGACTATAAAATTTTGTGAAGATTTCTAAATGTGGTGGTAACCATTTTTTTTTTTAGTTTGAATATGAAAATGAGAACTACGTTTTACATCCAACTACTGCAGTTCTTCTAACATAGACTTAGGGCCGTATCGTCAGTCGTTCCTACAATTGTTGGACGCCTTTATGGCCTCCTTGGTTGTCATAGTCTTTTCTCTCCTTTCGAAAAGCTGGGGTATTTCTAGATGTCTGCTGTTTTTTTATGTCGAATGAGCCGCGCAGGCAGAAGCCTAAATGCCCGAACACAGCGGCTGCTATGACAATCCCAAAGAATTTTTGTTAATACTATTTTTGAATGGCCTAATGTAAGTAAAGCTGGGAAAAGTTTCCTCTTGTAGATTGTTCCACAATCTCTCGACACCCTCGGTCGTATCAGCCAGTTCTGTCTGGCAGGCACATCTCGCGGCGGCATCATGGAAGAGCTAGATCGCCGACGGCCTGCCGGTGCGAAAGAGTCCCTAAACTGTCTGTTAGACAAGAGTCATCGATCAGTCGGACCGCCCTCCTCTGGTCAGCATCGAGCATGGATAATGTAGTCGGGACGGCAGCATCCCAAACGTGTGAGCAATACTTGAGGCTATGCCTTATCTTGGCCTTATATAGAGTGAGAAGGTCATGCGGAGAAAAGTATTTCTTAGCCCTAAACGAATAGCCTACTTTTTTCCAGCTCAGCGGCAGAGATCGGCTTGTCACTCTGAATTCCTGCATGTAGAGTGTTGTCATCAGCGAAGCTGTGGATTGGGTTGATTGTGCAGGAAAGGACGTCGTTGATAAGTAAGAGGAACAGTGTCGGAACCAAGATCGATCCCTGGGGAACACCCGCGTTGACGTTGTGGGATGAAGAGGAGAACCCGTCAATTTCTGCGAGGCCATAGGATGGAAGTTTGCTTAAGAGGGCAGCGTGCCACAGCTGATCTAACGCAGTGCTGTAAGGGACAGGATGCGTGGTCAGAAAGAGATCCAGCAGGCTACTGGCGTGTGACGAGACGCGGGGAAAAAAAGTAGGGCTCGTCACCAGCTGGGTCAGCCCTTTACTAAGAGCGAATACTTCGACTGCACGACCTGTTGCATCGGTCTTGTTTGAGCCCAACCAAAGCTCATTATGGAAATCACCGAGAACTACCTCTGAAGCGGGGTGATTGATGTTCAGGACGTCGATCTTGATGGCGAGGTATTCAAGTAGGTCATCCCAGTTATGGTCCGAGGGAGAGCGATAAAGGTAGCAAATAAATTTATTTTGTTGATGTTTTGGAGTTGAGGCGAAGCCACAAAATGTGCTTCCTGTCTGATTCCAAGGAAACATCTCTGGAGCAGGAAAGACTGCTGTGGAAAAAAGCCGCAACTCCCCCATTCTTTCTCAGATCGGAGTGCACCTCGTAATTTGGGAATTTAAGATGGTTGATCGGTACAGACTCTGAGATTTTTGTTTCCGTAAAGAAAAGCATGGCGGGACGATTGGATTGCAGGTGGTGATGAACAGCATAAATGGTGCTGTTAATCGCGCAGATGTTCGTAAAACAAATTTTATCTTCGATGTTGTTCCCTCGAGCCCACCCTCCACCCGGACATTCCGAGTGTGGAGCGAGTTCACGGTCCGGAATTCTTAGTGCTCGAGGGATCCATCATCATTAATTTCTTTGTTTTGGAGATAACCGACTGCATAGCTTAGGTGTGGAAACATGCGAACATTTATAAGAAAAAGTTAGCGGATAGTACCGCCTCGGTCGACTGGTCCTTGTCTACCACCTTCTGTTCCGAGTCAGCGTCAGCCCTCTCCTATTGTGAGGTTATGTTTGCTTTTTGAATCTTAAGAAATTTCAGGCGGATAAAAATTAAGTTTTATCAGCGAAATCGAAAAGAAAATATAGCGCTGATACGAAACACTAGAAATTTACCCATTGCCTTTTTGAAGGTCAGGAAAAACTACGAAAATCAAGTCAAGAGCCTTTAAAGGCCTCCTACAATTGTAGGAATGACTGATGATACGGCACTTAATCTTCGCATATTTGTTTCTATTCAAAATGATTCTCATGGCTTTTTTATGTAGAATTTTTAATTTTGAAAATATGCTTTCTTTTGCTGTAAACAAAATAGTTGAACTATATAAAAAATGGTGAAGAATTATGGCGTTACACGCATTTTCTTTTGGAATACCCATTGAGATAAGCCAGTCAAGGATTTGACACGAGTCAATTTTTAAATGTCCCCCTGACGCTATCAAAGGAATTTAATTTAAAGATATTCTGCCGTGAACTTAAAAACTTTTTAATATGTAAATCATGTGTGAGATCTACAATTCACCTACTTAAGATTGAGAATGACTCCATTCTTCAGACAATAAAGCAAACTTATCAATAAGTAGCGTACATTCTTAGTGACGTAAGATCAAAAACTACACTAACCTGGCATCGGAGGCGGCGGAGGACCACCTCCCCCACCCGGTATAGGCGGAGGAGGTGGTGGAAGAACGCCACCCCCAGCTCCGGGCATCGGTGGGGGCGGCGGCGGAGGTGGCCCGCCTCCAGGCATCGGGGGCGGCGGTGGACCGCTCCCAGTACGACCCTGCATTAAGTCTAGCTTCGCCTCGGCTTCTGTCTTCGCGGCCAGCGCTTCTTCCAGTTGCTTGCGCAGGCCTTCCACTTCGGCACTTTCCACCAACATTGGCTTGTCTGAAAAAAAAAAACAAAAATGGCGTCAAGTAAGTTGACTCTGTACTTCCCACGCAACGCTGTCATCAGTTCGTAAAGGATTGTTTGGCACATGTTAGTCCTTATAAGAAGAAAGTTAGCTACGAACATGTGTAATAAAAAGTTGAATGACCTTCCTCCTGCCCATTGATAGGAATTCCTGCAGGCTTACATGATCGTTGCGATGATCAATCCCGCGTTAATGACGATGTTTGCCTTCATCATGCACAGTACACACAGCACACGGACGCGATTGATGACTGTGACATACGACCACTGACGACGTCGCTTGTCCATCAGTGTACATAGTATACGTCGCACGTACGTGTCGACTGTTGGAGATATTTCCAAGTTTTGAGGGCAAATGTACGGTGACATGTATGATGAGTGAAATATGTCTATTATGTGTGTAGAATTACTGGGGCTGGAGGCATATGAATATACCAATGTAAAAAATTGAGATATATTTTTTGTTTTTGGCCTTTTTCAGACAGACACACCGACAGAAATGAACAACATGGAAATTCAAATTCGTATTTTTAGTGTTATTTTTTAAACTGCGATGTTTAAAAGAGCATTAAATAGGCTAGTTTTTAGGATCATTTTCCGATTCAGTCTGGTACATTTTTTTCACAGTAATTAGTCAAACTTTCGTAAAGGTTTTCACATTGAAACAAAATGTATTAATTTTTTTTTGATACCATGCTAGTTTTCAATTAAATGAATACTCGGTTGTCTCGACCAACTATTAATGGTAGCCCAGGAAAAAACTCACAAAAGTTTGAAGTTCTTAATAGCCATAACAGGCTTTAAAAAAGGAGCAAAATGTAGTGATTTTTTGAAAAAACCTAAAAGTGGCAATATCTCGAAAACTAGAAAACTTTCACTAAGGTCATATTGATTTTATCTGATTGATCTGAAGCCAATCTGCCTCCAATGTCACTCTGGCGTGTTAGTTCTGGGACACCCTGAATAAAAGAGTGGCACAAACTTAATCAACGTAGATGTTTCCACCGGTAAGTATTATTATTATTATGTTGTTACAACATTGTCACTTTGGTAGGCATTACTAGTCAAAAGAGTCAAAGAGTATGCACTGAATCTGCGCAATTTTGGCGAAAAACAATGCGATGTAAACATATATAATACATTCGAAAATTAGTTTACTTACCCTTTAGCTCATCCAAAAGTGGTTGTAAATCGATGTCAATGTGGTTTTTCTTGAAATCAGGATCCAAGCCAGATTTGTGAAGGACTATCTGGGACACTACTTCTTCTATCAACTTAAAATATGCCGGCCTGAAAAAAAACATACATCAAAGTTCTGACGATAAAATATTGTCAGTTGAAAAACATTTGAATGGATGACTGATATTTCTTCAGATTAAAAAACGCACCTCATGTTGATGTCATCCCTGATGAATAGCAGGTGTTGTAATATACTAAGGAAATATGGTTCAGAGACCGTTTCTAAGGTGATGTTTTTCAATACCTCGAAACATTCCTGGATGTCGTCCATGTCCAGTCGAACCTAAAAAGAGAAAGATTGTTTCATTCATTTGTAACATGAACAAGTTGAAATATTCAATGTATATTAAAAGGATTCAAACCTTGTCGAATCTTTCGTGCAATTCATCAGCGTCATCTTCTCGCCTACTTTCGAATATATCAAACTGTGTCTTTATCACAGGGTTTGTCTCGTTCTTCAATTCCTCTGAAAACACAAAAGAATGCCACAAAAGTTCAGGATTTATAAAATCACTCCATACCATGCCAGTTTGTGCGTGTATATAGCAGCAATACATAATAAAATCTAACAGATAGTCAAGTTTAAATTATTTCAATATATGGTCTTACTTACGGAGTTTGTCATACAGTCCATTTCTGATAATTTCGTTTCTTAGGTGCATCCTGAATTCAAAATCTTCTGTCTCTGACAGAAGAGCGTTGATAAATTGAAAACACATACTCTGGAATTAAAACAAACGTATGCTTTTATTTATTTTTACCGAAAATTAAAATTAAATAAAATATCTTTATATGACAAACAACATTTAAAAATCATTGAATAGTTTCGTTGTTACAATTCTTTTTTATTTTCAACATATTGGATAGAAAATAATGGTTTCAGATGAAAACTGAAATCTCAATTTTTGGGAAGAAGCAATATAGATCGACACTGAAATAATTTGCAAAATAAAGGATTTTCTCGAATATTTTCGCTAACACAATTAATAAGTAAACGTTAACCTCAAAGTACCACACGATCTTCACAAGTAAAAACAAAATGATTACCACAAATTTAAAAATCCTTTTCCTTGTCCACTTCCCAAGTTTTGAAACTTTCATCTTGATTTAAATAACACTAACAGAAAAACCTAATCTAAAATAAACAATAAGTTAACGTTTCACCAACATATTTTACATTTCAATTATCTTCGACACTAAAGGAAACACATGTTTTATCACTACCACGACAAAAATGATGGCCGTATCGCAAAAAAACTGTCGTCATGTTTTTAAGGAGATTGTGATGTACAGTAGCGGACAAAAACATGATCAACATTTTGATACTGAATATTAACACCGTATAATCGAACACACTTTTTTATTTTCTTTATTTTTTCGATTCAACATCGCGCGAGGTTTTTCTTAAAAATTACGAGAATTATTCGTATTTCAACTCATGTTCGAGGACAATAGCTCGGGAAATAATAACAGATATGTCGTTTTATCTACCTAGCCAGTTCAATCACTAATAGCTTTTCTAGAAATAATAATTACTTGATAATGTGTTTACAAAGATTTGTCAGCTTGTGGAGACTTTTGTCTCTTATCCATCTGATACCTTCGCTGCATAAATGACATAATATTGTGATTAAAAAATGTTTTAAAATATTATTTATAGTATTATTTCTTCAAAAACTATTACTCATTCCTGACGATCTCGATATTGACTAATTGTCTACCTTCCGCGAGATGTGCAAAGTATTTATATTTGTCGCCGCGTAATCTTAATAAACGGTGCATCGATTTTGATATTTTTTTGGAAGCCACACACAAATTCTTACCTGTAATTCTGCATTGTTGGTTTTCGCGATACCGTTCACAATGGGCAGAAATCTTTCTCTATCTTCTTCTTCCCCTACTTTGGTGATAGCCATCAAAACTTTTTTCGATCCCTCATCATCTGCTCCTTCATCGAATAAGCAGAGGGGTGCAAGGATCTGGAATAGACCAAAATCAGATCTGAAATAATTATCACAAATCTATTTTTTGTGTTTTCAAATAGGAATTTTTCGTCAGTTTCCAAAAAAAACACGTTACAGCACTTCATGAATGACTAATATAAAATGAGTACTTACTTTGAGCGCCTGGATCATCACTTGAGGTCGTTCGTGATTCAGGCATTTCGCGACAAGCTCGTGTCCTTTAGTATTTTTGAAAAAGTTTTTGTATCCTGTCGTGTTGTTCATGAATTTTTCCAGACATCGTAGGCACTCTGTTTGCAGTTTGTATTCTTTACTATTTCAAAGATAAAAAAAGTGAGATAATCTTCATAGTGTATGTGGGTAACCATGTAGGATACAAAAAATAACGTGAAAAGATGATTGTTTTGTGAAGAACAATTTTCCAGCCATGTCCTTTAGGGATATGTAATAGAAAGGCTGTAAGATATTTTTGCGTTTTAGATGAATGGGGTATTCTCCAAAATATTTGAATGAATCAAATATTTTACCTCCAAATAGCACATTTTGAGAAGTTGAGCTTTTTTCTATAAACGGGAAGTTTAAACGTAAAATTTGAATTAAGCAAGATGTCGACTTCTACTTTGAACAAAACTTAAAAGGAAGACCATAGCTGTTCTGCGCCCTTTTACACTGTGTGCTTTGCGGAGCAATACGCCATATAAGCGCTTGGCTACCTGTGGTGTAAACATGACCAGTGATATAACTACATTCTCGGTATTCAATTGTCGCATCACACATGCGTCACTTACGAGGTCTGTAAATTAAGTGATGAGACTGGCAACGTAGTGTTCGATCTGGCAACACTGGAGGCGCCGGGCTTGGGGGAGAGACAGAAGGGAGACAGATTACATGTGATCGGCCTTCAGTACAAGTTTGAACTCGCTCGACTCATTTGGTTGTCCGCAGCAATTTTTTTTTGTGAAACAATTTTTCTATTGTCTTCTAAAAATGGTGACATCAATTTCAAGCAACGGTGTGCTATCAAGTTTTGCTTCAGACTTGGGCACAGTGCAATGGAAACTCTTGCTAAACTCCAGCAGGGCTAGAGAGATAGTGTTTTGTCAAGAGCACAGGTTTTTCGGTGGTTTAAAGCTTTTTCAGAATGGAGAGAGTCGATTGAAGATGAACCACGAAGCGGAAGGCCTTCACCTTGAAGAACCGATGAAAATACAGAATCCGGGATCTTATGCGTTCAGATCGTCGGTTGACAGAATGATCAGGGAAGAGATAAATTTAACTCACACCACTGTTCATCAGATCAAGAATAACTGGGTGTTGTAGCACTGCTGTGAGTGGAAGAACCGTCACCAGTGTGGCTTCAAAAGGAAGTTATTTTGAGGCTGACAATATAAAATTGTAATTATATTTTAATAAAAAAAAATATCAGTCTCATTACTTAATTTACTGACCTCGCATACCATGATTTCGGCTTGGTAAAAATATATTTTGTTTCCCGCAAAATACTTACTGCTTCAATCCAATCTCCAACACTTGCAAAAGCAACTGCAGCCCCACAGACCCGAATTTCTCCACCCAACTTAAGGGATTATTGGCTAACGCGACCCTCAAACTCTCCACACAACTCAGGTACTTGTGAATAGGCGTGTTGTATTCGGAATTCAGGTGGTTTTCAAGGTACTTGTGATAATCCTCGGGTTCGTTGAACCTATTGCCAGTGTCCTGCTGACCACGCTTTTTCTTTTGCATCACCAGCATTCGCTTCTTTTGGTCTAATGGCATGTTGCGAAGGGGTTTCTTTTTATCGTCATTTAGGTTCATGTCACTCTGAGAACAAAAAAAACTGCGGTTCAGAGAAATAATTTTCAAAAATTAGTACTTTGATTAAAAACATTAGAATGGCTTATGCAAACTTACAAATTGTTACCGACACTATGAAATTGAAATAACCAGTTATGCAAGGACAGTATGTTTAGAAAATTTAAGGGAGAGGGTGCGGTTAATTACGTGAAAAAAAAAATGGCCTCAAGTAGGTCGATTCTGCACTTCCTATGCAATGCGGTCATCAGTTTATAAAGGATTATGTTCAGCACACGTTAGCGCCTCCAAAAAAAGTTAGCTACGTACACGTATGTGTATAATAAAAAATTAAATCGATCAAGATAGTCAAAGAGGCTCATACCATTAAAATGTGCATATTTAGCATGCTTTTCCTTACAATTTTGGGGCTCCTAAGGATTTGGCCCACTGAGAAAATATGCTCCTGTAAAAGTTTTAGAAGCAGGTGATCGAAATTCGCGTGGATGGGACTGGTACGAACTTGAATCGGACGGACCTCGAAGCACGTATTATCGGCACGCGACGGTTTGAAACATTTTTCCATCATTCTACATTTTGAGGATAAATGTAGGGAGAAATCTATACTGAGAGTAGTATATGTCTTATGTCTAATATATGCGTAGAATTATCGCGATTGGAGGCATACACCTTAGGAAAAACCATTGTTATACATGGGAAATCATTTCTTGGCAACAGCGCATCGAGTCGTCTACTTTCATCGCTATTCGTACAATTTCCTACCGTTAACGCGCGTGCCGTTGTCAAGTGCGATAAGGGATTCATGACTCACTCTGCGGTTGGGTTTAGTGTAGGAAAGGTGCGTCTTTATTTAATCCAAAATAACTTAAAAATGTACTCGCAAGAAGAAAAGTTTCAAATGATAGAATGGTACATCCAGAATAATTCAGCACGCGCGGTTGTTGAATTATTTGCGGTACGCTTCCCAGATCGGCCAATTCCATCTCACGCAACGGTTATAAATACCTACGAAAAATTCAAGAGGGTGGGCTGCTTACATAAGTGCCATAGCTGCATGCACCCTGAAGGTTGGAAACCAAAAATTAGCGAGAAAAGGGAGGAGATCGAAACTGCTGTTTGTGCCGCTGCAGAAGTATCTGAGCCATGCTCAAGCAGAAAAATTGCTGAAATGGTACCAATAGCCGATCTCACACCCAGAACAACAAGAAATATTTTGCATCGCAACGGCTATCATAGCTTCAAGGTTGGAACGGTTCAAGAAATATTTCCTTTAGACAAATACCGTCGAATGGAGTTTTGTGAACGGTCATGGAGAAGGCGAACAGGGATGGAAGTTTTATTGGTAACATTTTGTTTACTGATGAATCCACATTCCCTCTCCACGGGCATCACAATCCTTCAGTCGTTCGGTATTGGTCTCGGGAAAATAAACACCTCAGTATTCCCGTCCGCACGCAGTATCCACAGAAACTGAATGTGTGGGCAGGAATTCTAGGTAATAACATTATCGGACCGTTCTTTATTGATGGAATTCTTACGGCTGCAAAATATTTGGCGTTACTACAGACGCAGATTGTTCCTGCAATTAGGCAGCTTGGCATTGATCTCGCTAATATTTGGTTCCAACAAGATGGATGCCCGGCGCATAATGCGGCGATCGTACACACTTACCTTGAAAGTGTGTTCGGCCACCGGATTATTGGCGGTAACGGAACAATAAAATGGCCTCCTAGATCACCCGATCCAGCGCCCAATGATTTTTTCTTGTGGGGTTATGTGAAAAGTACTGTTTACACTTTCAATGAGAGAGCAGACAATTTGCATAACCTACAGGTGAAAATCGTTGAAGCGCTCGGGCAAATACAGCCTTCTACCCTCTTGAGAGTTCGTCAGGAGTTTTATAACCGCCTGACATACTGTTCATTGAATGAAGGAGACGTTTTTGAGCCCCAGCTGTGAAGGACCATTTGAAACATTTGTGTTCATTATTGCGTTTTATTTTTGAGAACTTATTTTTTTGTTAGAATATCTTTTTATTTTCGTTACACATTTTTAAGAGTGTACTATTTTTTGTTAGAGTGGGTATCTTCTTATTTTTGTTATGAGACGCAACCATTATTGCTACAAAACCAATTATCCATTCATAAAAATAAGTAGAGTGATTTAGGTGATTTCGTCAAATCTCGAAATCACCGAAATCGGTTCACAGGACGTCCAATCGAACTGGTGCGTAATGCGCGCATCTATTGTACTTCTTCTATCGACTCAACGCATACTGAAATTTGCAGCAGACCGCAGACCTGTATCACGAATGAGAATAATAGGCAGATACGCTGTGTTGCCAATTTGAGTAGAGCTTCCCGAATTGTGGGGAATTTAGAGTTAAGTGTTGATTCATTCAAGCTTTTAATCAGCATGGCCTAGACGTTAGGACTTCATAAAGATAACATTGAAGCTGAATGCTGCTGGAGTATAGTGTTTCGAATATTCAAAGCGGAGCGGGACACTATCCTCGTTCAATGGGTCATCAAGCCACAGTCTTTTCAACAAAGAAATTATTTTACGAAAATGCGTTATATTTTTACGATTTTGTCGTCACCAAATCTCTGTTTCTCAAAATGTACGTCTATTGTAGAATTTTCAGCAAACTAAGCAAGAAACGTGATCTAGTATTTACTCAACATTACGGATTTCTCGAAATACATTAAAAAATGTGACCTAGATACATAACTGCCCCAAGCTCTTTAAATATAACACCTTAAACCAGGGTTACCAGGTGCTCAGTCACGTTGATTGTCATGTTGTACTGCGCAAGTCAGCAAACAATCTGGCGTAATAAACGTTAGGAATCATCAGGTATTGCCAGATTCCCGAATACCGGGCACCATAGTACCCGTTATAGTTGTCCTTCAAAGTTGTCAAATCGCCCCTATGGCGCAAATTCGTCACACCAGGCAACTGTGCTATAAACAAACCCTGTTTATCACTACTATTTAATAGTCATATGGTAGTTGTAGCCCTATCTAGCGGTCCATGATTTATCTCAATACTGTTGTATCTCTACTGGCAACAAGAATAGGGATTACAAAATCATTTATACAACAATATACAAATATGAAAAATATGATTTGAACCATGAAACATTAATACAATTTTAATAGTTTGAACTTTTTTCATTTTTGGAATACTCTTATGTGGAATACGCAGCTATTTTTCCCGAAATTTGGGTAGATTTAGATTTCTTAGAAATATGACATATTGGTATCGGCAACTCTGCGAATGGGAGAAACAAATCGCATTTGTTGAGCGCATCCGTCTAAGCAGCAGGCGCCAGCGCCCGTTCTGCCATCTCTCTTTTATCACTCTTCTACTTTACCCCGTTGTCCGTCACACTCCGACGCTGCCAGATAGGATCCTACAATCGAGTGTCTTTCACGCACCTACATACTTTTGTATATTTCCATCTCTCTTCCTCATCATAATGTATAATAATGTTTTTTCCCAAGGTGTATAAGTATACCAACGTAAAAAATGTGATATAATATAATTTTTCTTAAAATGATCAGGAGCCTCTGAAACATCACAACATGAAGTTTGAGCGATTTTTATTTTCTTCCTTTTTTGCCCGTAGCTCCGCCGCCTCTGGATCGGTTTTCAAAAACTATAAAGCTTTTTCGCCTATGGCATAGTGGTAAACCATATGTGACAAATTCCTCCAAATCGACTGGTACTTTTCAAATTATAGCAGGGTCATGGATTAGCAGACAGGCAGACAGACTGCCGGAAATGAGTGACATGGTTTTTCGTGATGTACGTATATGTAATGGGTGATTTTTTTGCTAGTATTTTTTTGGCAATACTGTTTTTGACAGATGACGCGTGAATCGTGTCTTGTGTCATTGTCAAACTTGTTCAGTTTGGTCTATAATTTAACCATGAATCGACTTACGAACGAACAACGCCTGCAAATTATTGAATTTTACTATCAAAATTCATGCTCGGTTAAGAGAGTGCATCGAGCACTGCTTCCAATTTATGGGCAATTTGGTCGGCCTACTGAGGGAGCTATTCGGAAGCTTGTGACTAAATTTCGAACCCAGTTTACATTATTGGACATTAAACCACCAACACGCAGACGTAGAGTGAGGACTGAAGAAAATATTGCGGCTGTATCCGCCAGTGTTAGTGATGACCGTGAAATGTCGATTCGCCGCCGTTCGCAGCAATTGGGCCTCTGTTACTCCACTACGTGGAAAATTTTGCGACAGGATTTAGGTGTAAAACCTTATAAGATACAGCTGGTGCAAGAATTGAAGCCACACGACCTCCCACAACGTTTCCAATTTGGTGAATGGGCGCTGGCAAAGTTGGAGGAAGATCCATATTTTTATCGAAAAATTGTGTTCAGCGACGAAGCTCATTTCTGATTGAATGGGTACGTTAACAGCAAAATTGCCGCATCTGGAGTAAAGACCAGCCAGAAGCATTGCAAGAGCTACCAATGCCTCCCGAAAAAATCACTGTTTGGTGTGGATTATGGGCCGGTGGCATCATCGGGCCGTACTTCTTCAAAGACGACAATGGCCGGAACGTAACTGTGAATGGCGAGTGCTACCGTGCGATGATAACCAACTTTTTTTTGCCCAAAATAGAAGAGCTGGACTTGGCTGACATGTGGTTTCAACAAGACGGTGCCACATGCCACACCGCACACGAAACAATGGCCCTATTGAGAGGCGAGTTCGGTGAACAGTTTATCTCACGTTTGGGGCCCGTCAATTGGCCGCCTAGATCGTGTGATTTAACGCCGTTGGACTATTTCTTGTGGGGGCATGTTAAGGCTAATGTCTACAGGGATAAACCAGCAACGATTGACGCAATGGAAGCCAATATTGAAGCATTTATTCGTGAGATACCGGCCGATATGTTGGAGAGAGTGTGCCAAAATTGGACCTTGCACATGGGGCATCTAAAGCGGAGCCGCGGCCAACATTTACATGAAATAATCTTTAAACATTAAATTATATCGACCGTTCTATCGACTCAAATAAAGAATTAATCTTTTTTTCAAATTTTTTGTGTTTTTTTTTGAAAATCAAATCCTATACCTCTTAAAAAATCAGCCGTTACGTGTCATATCTCATTTTTAAAAATTTTCGCGATTGCCATCCCCGGTAGCGTAGGAAGTAAAACCTTGCAATAATTGAATATAACATGTGAGGCATATTCTTTTCTTTTTAAATCCAAAATCTTGCTAGCATGAACGCCGCTGATATAAGGCTTTAGAAAACAGCTCTGCAACACCCTGTATTTTCGTCATACACGGTATAACCTTTTAATTTTAATACACTTCTCCTATAAAGTTCACATTTGTTGTGCGATTCCCGGCGAATATTGGCATTTCAATGAATATTTGAAATATCATATATTTTTTGCAAACAATTTTTTACAATGCGACTTACCAAAAGTTCTTCAATCATATCGTTGACATCTGATTCGCTCATTTTCTCCAATTTTTTCTCGTAATCGTAATCGTCGTCGTCCGCATCGACGATATCGGACCCGGGCCTGGATTCGATGGCTGAGGCAGGTCGGGATGTCCCACCTCCTGTTGGACGTTTTGTGTTCCCGCCTTTGAACCATGATTCCAACTGCAAAAGAAAAATTCAGTCAAATACGTTCACTCTTTACAAGTAGATTATGTTTAATTTGTTTCTAAACTCTACTCCATGTGAACAATAATTACATAAAGAATCGATATAAGTTATTGCATGTCAGGCAGAGTTAACCTACTTGATACAGATTTTTGTCTGGATAAAATTGTCATGATTTTCTTATATTTCTGTTTCAATGGAAAATTTATGGAAAATGTTATGTCTAATAGGGGCGCAATGTTACCGGGTTCATAGCTTCCAAATATACATTTACAATAATCATCCCTTACAACTTACAACCCCTACGAAAAATGAACAGTGGTTGCTGAAACGTTAAAGAACCGTTTTAGCGACTTTCATCTTATCAATTTTTTTCGTGTAATTCTTTCGTTACTGGATCAATTTTAAAAACCCACAATTGTAGTATTAGGTACATCTGTGATGCCCTTTTCCTACTAAAATATTATTATAGTTTGTAGAGTTTCAGAATTTCATGAAGTTCCTCTGTAAATTGATCATAGTCAAATCGTGTCTCCTTTCGCATAAACATCGATAAAGGTGGAATCGCGAAAATGATGATCGACCAAATTGTAATTTCTGACTCAGCTGATGATGACGTAATGCAATACAATGCTAAAAATAAAAATTGCTTCATAAGTCCATATTCGCGAAATACCAAATCAGGTGTATATCAATATCCTTTTTCACTTTCAACGTTTTTTATAAAATGTCGACAAAAACAACTATGGTGTGGGCATCAAATAAATGATAGTACCTATAAATTTTAATTGATACAGCATTTATAATGTCTATTTCCCACTCATACATAACTGGAATATTGTCTACGTAAAGACCGATTACATTTTTAAAAATACAAACAAACCGACCGCAATAACTGAAAAGAATGAAGATTTAATTGTGCTATCAAGAGGAATCTAAGGACACCTCAAATATATCAAGCCGTGATACTGAATTATTTGTCCGCGCGCGAAAAACATAACCCTTCTTCTGAGGCAGACGGGTAAAAATACGCCCATTTGCCATCAAAAATTAGATGAGCTGTCACAACAAATAGTTGCAGTTCAGGTCAAAGGCAACTGTCTGATGTGCAAAAGATATCCGTTATCACGCAAATTAATGTTCAAAAAGCGCGACGACATGAAAATAATTGAAAAAACAAAGCTACTTCCATTGTACAATTATTTTTTTAAATTTTGACGACATTTATTAAGTACTCGTCTTTGCATAACAAAGAAATGCAAGAGATATCAAATCATTCATGTCAAGGTCTTAGAAAAAATAGAAATCGATTATGATAATTAGTTAATTGTTTTGGTTTCAATGAAATCACTCGGCAACCCATCTACGACAGACAGACAGACTACGGACTGTGCTTTTTTATAAAGAAGCAGCCATAGGCAGAAGCCTAAAACTGGGGCACCGCAGCTGCCTCGAGGAGCTTTGTTAATCCGATTTTTGAACTGCGTAAGGTTATTAGAACTGGGAAAAGCCTCCTTATGCAGATTTTACACAATCTAGACACCCTAAGGACAAAGGAGTGGTCGTACCGGCCAGTTCTCGACGTTAAAATGTGAGGAGAAATTCAGGCGGGCCTGACTGGGAGGTGCATCGCGCGGCAGCATCGTAGAGGAGAGCTCTGAAGGGCAAAGCTCATTGACATAGCTGAATCAGAGAGCCAGATTGCCGAGTCATCGATCAGACGGACAGACCTCTGAACAACATTGAGCATAAATAATGTATTCAGGGCGCCAGCACCCCAAACATGTGAGCAGTACTCGAGGCTTGGTCTTATCTGTGCCTTGTACAGAATATGGAGGTTATGTGGGGGAAATCACTTCTTAGCCATAAACAATCAGCCTAGCTTTTTCCCAGCAGGTGCTGCTATTGACGAGATGTGTTCTTGTCAGATCAAGTCGTCTGTAATCTTGACTCCGACTAGCCGGAATGAACGGCTCTTTGGTAGAACTCGGCCATCCATCGAAACTGGATGAGAGCTAGGACGCTTTTTGTTAGATAAGGAACAGTTCTGTGATTTGGAAGCATAAAACTGTACAAGATTGTTGCGTCCCCAAGCAGTGATAACATCCCGAAAGTCGCTGCTAGTCTTCTTCTCTCCAGCTCTCAGAATTCCTGTATGTAGAATGCTGTCACCAGCAAAGCTGTATATCGGATTGATCATACAAAAAGGAGGTCGTTAATATGAAATAAAAACAATGTCTGCGCTAAGACCGATCTCTGGTGAAGACTCGTGTTGACATTGTAGGATGAAGAAAACAACTCGTAAATTACGACGGATATCTTGCGGCCAGAAAGAAAGTTAGCCACCCATTTGCAAAGCTTCTCTGAGATGTCATTGGATGGAAGTTTGCATACGAGGGCAGCATACCACAATTGACCGAACACTTTCGTGATATGATATGAACGTCACCATAAGACTGGATGAGATTACCCCACAGCTGCGTGACGTAAGCTATGAAGTTTCCGGTTGATCACTAATGCCGGAAACCATACTGCCAGCCACTAATCAAGCCATTATGTTTGTTTGACAATTTGATTTGATTTTGGGCGAAGAAATTGCGTTTTCTCGGAAAGCAATACGCAGTTATTTTTTCAAGCAACGGCCTTGAATAACAAAAAAAATACACCGGATTTCTATTCGCTACATTCTTGGTATATATACTAAGTGACATATAAATCCGAACACCCAGTTAAAATGGTTTTATTTTAATAAAAGTTGGTGAATGTATTTATCTTACTGTAAATAACAAGTGAAAAAATTTTCAGCCTTATCAGTTGGACATTCCGGTTTTTATACTGCTTTTTTTTAATTCACTAACGCTCTAAAAATGAATATTTCAGCCGCAGTAAAGAATCAACGTTGGCCGGTTTTGGTTCTTGACATCCTTTACGATCGGTTACGATGCCTAGATTACGGAGACCTGTACGATTTCGTCAACTTAGTGAGTTTGATAGGGGCCGTATAGTGGGACTTCGGGAAGCTGGACTTTCTTTTCGGGCAATTGCAGTTAGAGTGCAAATAAGTGTAGACACTGTGGTTAGGTGTTGTCAGGCATGGCTTCGAGAAGGCCGTACGCAAAGAGCAAGGGGCACTGGACGCCGCCGTAGAACAACAGACCGTGAAGGTCGCCGCCTAAGATTATTGGCCTTAAGGGACCGTTTCTCCGCTACCAGGTCCATTGCAAATGAATGGTTTGCAGAACACGGAAGACCTATTGGCATGCGAAGTGTTTACCGACGAATGAGAAGTTTTGGCTTGTTTTCATACCGGCCACACTGGGTCCTCCCTTTAACTCGAGAACACCGACGTAATCGCCTTGAGTGGTGCAGACAACGGTCACTCTGGGATCAGGAATGGAACAGTATTGTCTTTAGTGACGAGTCTCGATTTTGTTTAGGCATGCACGATGGTCGTGTCAGGGTTAGAAGGCGACGTGGTGAAAGGAGGAATCCACAGTTTTTTGTTGAAAGACATGTTCATCACACTGTTGGAGTTATGGTTTGGGGTGCTATAGCTTATGGTTCCAGGTCACCTTTAATCTTCATCAGAGGTAACATGAACGCGCAGCGTTATATCCACGAAGTTCTAGAACCCCATCTTTTACCCTATCTTGACACCCTGGCAGATCCAACTTTCCAACAAGATAATGCCCGACCACATGTTGCAATAGTCACAATAGACTTCTTTCAACATAATGATGTCACATTGTTACCATGGCCACCAAGATCTCCCGACTTATCCCCAATTGAGCACGTGTGGGATATGATGGGTAGGAGATTGCTCAATTTGCAACGTCCTCCTCAGACTCTACAAGCACTTCGAGAGGAGTTGGTGGTTGCCTGGAATGAGATACCACAGGAGGACATTGACCACCTGATCAGAAGCATGCCTAGGCGCGTTGGAGGATGCGTAGCACATCAGGGTGCATCCACACATTATTAAAGGTCAAAAGGCTTTAAAGCAGTGCAATGATTTTGAAATTTTTATCATTTACTTATTATGCTTCATTAAGTACTTATACAAAATTTTATTAAAATAAAACCATTTAAACTGGGTGTTCGGATTTATATGTCACTTAGTATATATTTAGTATATCTATGTACAAAAATAAAAACAAGAATATGTCGGTTATTTTGAAAAACTCTTGGCACACGTACAAACTTGGGTGACATGTTGGAGAATATGCTAATAACCCAGACTCTATCTTTCTGAAGATAAGCAAATTATATGCATTAAATTAGTGTAAACAATGTAGGTAGATAATTATAATTGATAAAGCAAATCACGTTCAACTTGGAAGTTCCGTTACAGGATTTAGTCATACTTTTTTTATTATTGACATAAGGTGACGACCTGTCGATAATTTATATGGTTCATATTAAATATTTTCAACATTTTTATTTTATACCGTAAGCGCGAGTCTGCGGCCAAAAAAGTGCGGCGATTCTGGTAGAATATTATCTTCTCAGCGCGATGCATAAACAACGGTTTATCAAGTTTCGAGCCAAATATTCGAAAAACCAAACGGTGGATTTTTTTCAATTCTTTCGAAATTAATTCTTTCCTAAAACGTAACTTTTATCGTCATCATTCAAAATAATGAGCGCTTTTCTAAAGCACTCTGTATATTGTACTACAAAACTTACATATCCATACATTGTCACAAACCGGTTTTCTATCACAAAAACCAAATCAAGAACAAGCACATTTTACACTACAGGGGTCCATTAAACCACTGACCGATAACCACACAAAATAACGACCACATGTGATTATTCCTAATAATTAGTATTGAACATATACAAATACTACTGATACTCAACTGTTTACGGCGGAACAGCGACTAGTTTGATGTTAGCATTCAAGAGACGGGTATGGTAGAGAAAGAATGAAAATAAAAATGTTACATTATAATAAAGCATGACATCATTTTGAATAGCGCGTAAACACAGCCCAG